GGAACAATGATTTATATTTCATCTTCAGCTACAAGAATTAAAGAAAGAGAGAACAAAAAGACTATACCATTCTCATTGGTTACACATGTAGTAGTGGGACGGTTTGGCTTGTCCTTTGTATCAGAGAACTGCCTGCTCAAAATCAGTGGGCTGCTCAAGTAGCATATAAAAATTTGGGGAAGGTAATGTAAGAGTTATATGTTCCTTCAACTCCCTGCAGGTTAATTGTTACCACCTATTGGTAATTCATGCATGAACTCTTGGTGAAACTTATATTCTATCTTTCGCTTGGTTGGCCAAGGTCTGAGAGATGCTTGGCAACACTCAGACTCTATCCTCAGTTGTTTGAATGTCATTGGTCTCATTTCTCCGTAGATTTCTCATGTTGCAAAGCAACACATGACTTAAACTGTATGTTCTACCAGTATTCTGTTGTCATGTCCAGTGCGGCATTATATTCAGTACAAACAGGATTAGAACATTTTGCTTGGAAAAGTCTCAGCATAACATTCAGAAGATGCTTGCCCGTATGCAGAATAAAAGATCCACCTCAAGCTAATTTCAGAATACTTAAATTTTGAGTTAATAAACATCGTTCCTGAGGGAAAAGTATATTCCCCTCCTACTGATGCACAGTTAGTGATTTTAGAAGCCACTGTCAACAAGCTCTCAGCCTTTCATCTTTAGGTCATGAGTATAAATATAGCCCAACTCAAAGGGGGATTAAAAATTATTCATGTCTACTAAGATGGCTGGTGTCTCCTCTACAAGATGAGTTTAACTGGGCTCAGATCCAGCTCCCATATCACAAACTTAAGTGGCTGCACATTAAAGGGCATGCTAAGCACTGCCCCAACGTACGTGAGCTGCTGAGCTCATGGGTTGAACTTGCCATGTTATCCAAGGGTAGGACCAACACAATCTGGTAAAGTGCAGTCCCAGCCAGCGTCCCCCATGGCTCTCAAAGCCCCAACAGGCTAATGCCATTAAGTTGGGCATCCTCCAGCTCCTTCTGATTTACAAAAAGGTTTGGAGCTCTGAACTGGAGAGGGTGCCAACATCCCACCTCTCCAGAAAAGAGTACAAAAGCTTAAGTGTGGGTTTGCTGTTGTGTCCATAGCTCCCAGCAGCTCTGCTGGACATCTCAAATCCCAATGCTTCCCTACCCCTGAATCAGCTGGCTTTTGGGAAACCCAAACACTCCAAAATGGTTCCATGCCTGTCATTTTCCCAGCTGTGCACCATTAAATAACTACACACAGTTTGACCAGAAACTCCACATTTTAACCACAATTACGCTGCATCATCATATATTCCTTCCCCGTGATGGTAGTATCCCATCATAAAATAATTACCCTGTAATGTCACCGCAAAATAAAATAAATACTGCCCATGCATGCTGTTCACTGGTCTGGCTACTAGCTAGGGCAGAGCTTGAAATACAGCTCCCACCTGTACTACCCTGGCAACAGCCCTGATTAGCAGAGGCCTGAACCTGATGCAGGGGGACACATCACCAGTAAAAATCAAGTATTCTGGCAGGGGTTCGTGTGCAGGGACCCTGAAGCACACTGCCAGCAAGTGCTGCCAGTCACACCTGAGGTGCCACAGCGGCTGCTTCCCCATCGTTTGCCTGAACATGTTGATGTCTCGCAACTATCACACAAATTTCACCAAAATATATATATATATGATTGTAAAAAATTCCAGTCAATATATCCTTTCAATCTGCTCCAGATTATAGTTGGTTGATTTTTTTGTTGTTGTTGTTTTTTCTTTTTTTTTTTTTTTTTTTTAAGCAATTACTGTAATTTCATTAAATGACATAATTACCATTAATTCAGAGGAAAACTGTCAATAAAAGGTATAATTACGTTGTATAAAATCACAAGCACAATGTTCAACGATGCATAATTCCTCACGAAAATCATTCTTGTGACTAAAATTAAGTCTTAAAATATTTTTAAAATACAAATTGTGCAGTAGAAATGATTAAGTTCTGATTATGGACTTCTACAACCAACTTGGTAAGAAGAGGGAGAAGAGCAAGCAGAGAGGTCATGCAACTAGAAGGTAGAAGCAGGAATTCAGCTTGGAAGCATATTGGAAAGGTAACACAAGTTTTCATATCAACAAGTGGGAAAAGCAAACAACTTATTATGACATGGATATATGAGTTGATATGTAAGCAGACATTCCCTCAGGCACATTTCACCTTGCAGCTCCTGTTTTTTGGGCACCGTTAACACAGTGCAGAAGTGATGCCTCAATGAAGAAAGGTGACAAAAAGAAGGAGCGAGGTGGACAAAGCTAACACCACAATATTTGCTTGGGAAACCAGGAACAAATTGTTCAGGGTATGATTATGGGGAGTGCTAGGCACACAAACAGAACCATAAAGGCATACACTACAGTATGTTTTGGAACACCTTCAAAAGAAAGCCCCTTTTGAGGAGTATGTTCCATGGAGTACATGATGGAGAACACACAAAGACTTAAGATCTCTCCCAGTAGAAGAACACTGTTAACATTACAGCAACACTTTCTGCAAGTGCCTATTTAGCCAGTATATCAACATATTAGCTTGGGATGACACATAAATAGGTGAACATGACGATAGCATTTTTCTCATCCACTTGGGTCCTGCCTGCCATTTCCTCTCTCTTTTTCTTTTGTGTGCCCCAACGTAGCAGCAAACATCCTTGTTGTACTTGGAAGCTGTCAGTACTAACAGGCAAGGAGGTGCGCTGTAATGAAGACTAAAACAGCAAGGTGCAAGATATCATGTGAGCTCCTATTGCAATGCTTTTGATTAATTCTTACAAATATTTTCTCCCAGCTGAGTGAGGAGCTTTGTGCACCTTCCCCACCTCTGGTTTCTAGTGCCAGATACAAGCAGGATGTTACTAAGAACAGCATGGTTCAGGGCAAGCTGATTCTAAGAAAGTATTCAGAAGTTGCTTGGTGGAGGACAGTGATTTTAAAAATGACATATTTTAACATACTTTTTTTTTTTTTTTTAACTGTTAAAGACTGGATTACAGGTACACGTCAGGGCAGTGGGGTATAGCACCTATCTTGCTGTGTATATATTTTCCCAACTATGAATGCACATACTGGAAACAGCAAAAGATAGGGTATTAACACTTCATTATAAATGCCTAAATGGAATCACTGCCATGTGGAAAAGATCAAATACACTTAACTTCTGGTTTGTAGAAGAAATCTGCTTGTATTATCCTTAGTAGTGCATTTTATTCCCTTCCCACTACCCACTTCCTGTAGGAAACCAGGAGCATTATGTTACCCAGTAAAGATGTTAACATCTGTAACTTGTAACGTACCACTTCTTTTGTTCATCTTCCTTTTCACCTTGAATGAATTCCTTTTTCTGTGGACCCACTTTCCCAGATTCTTATTTTTATACCTTTCTACCACTTACAAACTTTTCCTAAGTCCAGAAAAACAAACTTCACAGCCTTAATTCACAAGTAATTTATTTCCTGATGGAGAAAATCTCCTAAGCACATGGTTAGGTTCCTGTTTAACAGTGATGGAACAGTGTTGGCACTGGGATTTTACCTATGTCCCTACTACCTTTGCAGCCTGTGTGTACAACCATACAATTCCTTGCACAATCATGTAGATTTCTTTCACAACATGGAGAGAAGTTTCAGAGCTACCAAATATTGCAAACAAACACACATGCATAGCAGCTCCAACTCTTTCAAGAAAGCCACCATCTTAAAGCCCAAAGGGCAAGACTAGGTTGATTTAAGTTTTCTTTCTCTGAGCACTTCCAATGTATCTGTGCACAACCTACAGTATATCAGTTAGCATCTCTGTCTTCAAAGTAGACAACATTTTAACGTATTAGTAAGCAGCTCTTGAGCCACTAATGCTAGATATGATTTGAATAAGCAGAAAAAAAAACACACAGAAAAGATCCTCTTGTCCTATCTTAAAGTGCATGTCATGTCTATAACTTGCAGGGTCTTTGCTCTGATTTTCTTTCCATCACTTTACTTATCTGCAAGAAATACACTGTGAAGTGTCTTCCTCTAAAGAGCCTTTAGGTGATTTAAAATGCAGAGAGTATAAAAGGAAGAAATCTTGAAGACGTGGCTGTCCTTTTACTTAATCAACACTCAAAAGCTTTCTTTTTGCATGCTGGACCACCACAAAATGATTTTGCAACCTTTAATGGCACGCCAAACATTTCAAGCACGACGAAAATGTCACACCACTGAATCAAAACCATGCAAAACCTTTCTGTGCTTGCATGGATTATGAGAAAACTGCAAATGGGGTGCTTACTACCAAGAGGAAAATGGAGAGAGTGGGAATGGCAGGTAGAGAATTTGGCTTTTTTTTTGCAGAGAGAAGAACTCATTGACCAGCCTTTCTCTGTCCTTTCATATTTATAAATACTTAATTTATAAAAAAAAAAAGGAAAGAAATGTATTGTGATGATTAAGGGGATAAATTTGCAACTGGCAAAACTGTTCATGTGCCAGGGGGACATGCAGCATGCTGTGTGGTAGCAGCAGGCAGAGCAGACATTGTTAACCTGCAGCTAACTGCCTCCTCATGCATCATGACAACCAACGACATCTCACTGCAGATGGTGCCTACTCTCTCGGCCACCATCTCTCTTCTCTCCCACCATCCAATTTCCATGCTCTGGAAGGGCCAAAACAGAACAGCCATACGGTCACAGCCCTTACAGTCTATCACCGACCACACATGGGTGGCCCAGGTCAACAAGAGCCTCTGCACATAGCGAAAAAAGGCTGCTTCTGAAGGTTCAATTTCCAAGTCCAGCAGACCTAACACTGACCTGGCTGCCTTTGAAAACTGCACACCCTGCAGCCGTGTAGCTACAAAATACCAATAACTGCAAACGATAAATGGCTTTGGACTGGTGGAGAGGATGGCACGTTAACACTCAAGATCTTATATCACTTAGCCACATCCAATAAAAGAAGAAATCCACTTACCACAAATGCTATCATACTCTTTACCGTGGACTCCCAAAGAAAACAGCTCCGAAGGAATTGTATTGTATTCCATATTGCCATGGTGATTTTTTTCACACGATCAACATTCCTCGATAAGATCTGATAAATATTGAGTGGGAGGAGGGGAGGAGAAGAGTTTAATCAAACACTCTAATATCCTACCATTGCTTCAGAAACAGGGATAATTTAAGCTACAAATGCATGCCAGGGCACATATTACAAATAAAGCTTCTATTTCAAAGGCACTCTCCTGCTCCTGTCTGCTTTCTGATTACACTCATACCTCCCAGATTTTCCTTATTCATCAGAAAATAAAGCAAAAAGAAAAAACAAAAACAACATCTTGCCAAAACTAAATAGAACAGTAACAGAAACCTACCTACATTCCCTTGCAATTTCCATAATATAGTAATGCCTCAGAACTAAGGACTAGATATGATTTAATCCAAACACAGAACCTCTTCTCTATGTTTTAGATTCATCCATAGAAATAAATATGAGAATTTTAGCTTTATTTTATTTAAAAGGATAACAGTCATCGTTCTAAAATCTGTAGAGTTTTTAACTAATGTAAATCTGGTTTCTTCCTTCTGAAATAAAAGAACAGGGCTTGTGCTTTGCTTCAGGTGCTTTTAACCGTGCATTACCCACAACTATCATTTTCCCTGTTCTGAGGCACAAAGCCGAACTACTGATGCAAACTAGATCAGAAAGCCTTTAAACACAACAAAATGCACAGAATTTACATGTGTTCAGTGTTTTACACGTAAATGGGTGTTGTTCTTGGCCACAGTAACTCAAATCTTTCCCAAGTAAGCATCAGAGCTGAGCCCAGAGATAACCTTTACCTTCTTAGAAAATTTGCGGTTCTCCTCAGTGAAGCGCTTTTCGCGGGGCTTGAATGTTCTAATAGTTGCTTTGATCTAAAATAAATAAGAAAGTCATGTACTTTTAAATTCATTATTCTTTATAGCACTAGGATTTTTCTCTCTTTTAAGGGATTTCTAGGAGAAGACTAAAAGAAATCAAGAGGGCACCTTACGGAGGAAATGAAATAAGTATTCATCATCCTGCACGTTCAATACGTATAGGTGGAAGAACCTGGACTGCTTCTGCCCTGTTCCCTGGAGTTTTGCTAACCACTCTCACTGTACCACAGGGCTGGCAAAGGCAGAGCTGCGGCACAGCCCACAAAGGCCTTAACAAATGGGATTCCATTCAGCAAAGCTGGAGGGCATAAACAATTGAGACTGACTCAGCCACCTAAAAACTAAGTGCACCACATACATGCCTCATTAATTTTCCTGTCAACACCCTGGGAAGAGAACATTGTGGGTCAGCTTTTTTGGGAGGAAGTAGGTGTTAAAAGTAATGCATAATAATCTAAACATTAAGCCCTTTTCTGGCTGCTGCAAACGAAGCCCTGGTGTATGGCAATTGACACCTCCTTCCTAAAGCTCCTGTGGTCACTGTAAGTCCTGAAGTGCCCCTGCATTGTTCCATCCACCCAGATGGGCTGTCGCGTTAGGATGTGCCAATGTCTCTTCACCCACAGTATGAAACATTGCAACCAGATGCAGTGAGGTCAGGACTTTTCCCGCTCGGTTCCTGCTTTCAAAGGATCGATTACCTCCCTCCCAGGTGCACATATTTCCACATCTCTTACACAAATGATAAGCAAAGAGAAAATATTTTAACTTACGGGATTAAATAGGACATCCAGCTCTAAGTAAATGACTCCTTTTGAAGCACGTTCCAAGTCTTTATTCTTCAGCATGTAACAACTTTGTTTGCCATTTCTGATCTATAGATTGGGAAGAGAAAAAGCATCAATATTTTCCCAGCTGTAATTTACAATGTAATTTTAAAAGACACTACCAAAAAAAAAAAAAAAACAACCACCTCACAAGCACAGAAATCCTCCCCAAACCATGATAATACACTCAGAGCCTGAAATACAAAATGACCATTGGATTAGAGACCTATAAAATTGCAGATTAAATCTCTTATGGTCCAACTTTAATTTACAAACCTTGTACTTTATAGTAGAGCAGTGCATGCAATAACCAGTTTGAAAATTCTGCCCTGGAAGCCAGTGAGTTGATGGGAAGTAATCAGCCTCCGTTATTACAGGTTGAAAATGGAATTTTTCTTCCAAAGTTCAGAAAAAGAGCCACGACAACAACTTACCCACCTACTGCACACCCCAGTACACGAACTCACTTCAAATGCTTCGCTTACTGCAAGGTTGTCAAATTATTACCCAGGAAACGAACACAATCCAAAGAAATTAATCAGCTTAAGTGGAATGAATGTTAATGTAACAAATGTTCAAAATTAACTAATTCACGTAAGAGACTTCTCCCCCCACCTCTGAATTTCAATACTATTTCCATGCTCTAATCTGCCGGTTGGCCCTATCACATTAAACGCCTATAAAAAGAAAAACAACCTCCCTCCCTCACCATTTTGTAAACTATTTGGCTCAAATCAAAAGCATTCTCTCTTCTGAAAGTGATGGCAGAAATGTATTTATTATACACAGTAGGATATGTATTGATTAAACATTTGGCTTTTTAGGAAGCAGACCAGTTAATTCTAAACAGCAGTAACATAAAAAACTGCAGCTTACCAAAAAGCTACATTCAGGGACTGTAATGATCAAAGATTAAAGATAACGGAGGAAATTTGGGGGCATGAAATTGCAACCATATTTAAAACGGCTATTGCTGCTCTGGCATTTAGAAGAGGCACTCATATAAACCATGGCAGAAATGAGCAAGGAGGAAAAAAAAGGCATAATAGGAACCAAGCGATTTCACGTTACAAGGGAAAGGTCACTTTCCTTCCCAATGCTGCTCCACCCTTTCTGTACCAAACAGCTCGTCGAAGGGTAGACGGCTTTCCTGGCTGACAGTTAAAAAGGAAGAAGGCTCTCATAAAGCCCAAGTTCGCATCCTCATCAGGGTCCAAACAGGAATTCCAGCTTTTACTATGCTTTCATCCAAAGCTGAGCTTAACAGGATGCTGGGAGCCATGCAATCAATTGCAGAGTCTCTTTAATAGTAACAGGCACCGATCACGAACCTGCCTTCAATGTAAGGACAAACACAAAGGGTTGGAGTTAAAGACAAAGGAAGTGGCCAACCCCGTTCGTAGGATCACTCATATCAGATGGTCCTCAGACCAACTGCCATATAAAGTACTGTTTACCCATCAGAAAGGATTCTGCTACTTCAACAGTTCCCTCATCACCACCTAGCAAACGCAGAAACAGTTTTAAAAGATACGGGATGAAAACAAAACCACTCCAAGTTATTCAGAAACTAAAGATGCTTCATTTTCCAAACTGAAAATTGCATTTCGTCTGAGAAGAGATAAAAGGCCAAATGGACTTGGCTTGAGATTATTATTGCTTTGATCTAATGCAACGGCACCAGAAGAAGGCATAGAAGAAGAAGCTTTGTTCCTAGCAGCGTGTCTGCAGAGACAGAGATATCCAGTGCCTATCAACACTGCGTAACTATTGATTCTTCTTATTTATGAATTTGGGGGCTGAATTTTCATGTATTTCAGTTACAAAAAGTTCTTACAACTTTTTATTCTTAGGATGAAATGCTTCCATAACTCAGCAGTAAGGACACGTGGAAATCCATCTGGATATATTTCTTACCAACATATTTTAAGAGCACAGCCAGTAAGGAAGGAGCACTGCACACACTGCTAAATTCAGTGAGAAAAAATAAAAGGAAGGAGAAGGTCTCGTAATTAATACAGATTTCCTAGCTTTTGACCTTCTTCAAGGAGAGAGAAGTACAAGAGAAAAGAGCAATTGGCTATAAACTGGCATTTTCATTTGGATGAAGAGAAAAAACCTTGATTAAAAAAAAAGTCAAACAGAAGTCTCTCAAAAGTTTTGGCAACATGCTATGGTACTGCAGGTCAGCAAAAGGTGTAAGGTAACTCTAACACCCATGACTGCATAGAGATTGAATTGACAGCACGTCTGAACTGTGCTCAGAAGAGAGCATCCAGAACTATTCTGTTTTTGGGCCAGAGTTTAGATTCTGTTCAACATTTCCCTCTGTCTCAAGAGACAAGCAGTCATATTAATCTCATTTGGGATCCATTTCTTCTTCCTCCCATAGAGGAGGAGGAAGAATTTCTCCTATCCCTGCTATTTGCAAAAACCACTCACATATTCTCTCCAGCTGCGGACAATGTCGCACCCTGTGCTGAGGTCCTAGGAACCTCAATTCAGAAAGATCAAATTTCTCTGCTGCTCAAAACACCTTCCACTAGATACCTGAACTAATAGTCCTGAGAGCCATGTCTAAAATTGTTTAACTTATGTAAAAGCATCAAGAATGGAATGGAAAGGAATATGGGAATTAAAAGTGAAAACACCTACAGGTGAGGTCCTTCAAGAGATATTATCAATATTATCCCCTTATTAATTTCACACACATGTATATATGTCTCCTTAAGTAATACTAATGCTTGCATTCTTTGAAAGCTTGTTAGCTGCATGGAACACACTGGAGTTCAATCAACAATCAAGACTGCCCATAAGCACAGAAGGATAGTAGTACCAATCCCACTGATAAGCTTCATTAGACACAGTTACCATCAGAAAGAAAAAAAAAAAAAAAAAAAAAAAAAAAAAATCAGCATTTTCACCCCATGAAAATTTCTGATATTTGGGGGTATTTCTGTGTTCTGAATCAACTCAGAAAGACAAAATACCAGCAGCACTATTTCAACAGTACAATTCACCGCTTCTGTATCATACTTCCTTCTCTACACAGAAGTTACCAGCTGGAAGCAAAGCTAAAATTCTTCATGCACTCTGTATTTCTATCTACAGGAGCACTTCAAGCAGAGGTAACCTCTGGCAGTGCTTCAGCTTGCCCTCCCAGCTGGAAGGAGATGTTCAGGTGCATGAGACCACAGCACAGCCAAGGCCCAAAGTGCATCAAGTTCCTTTCAAATGAGTGAATATATTTGCTAAACTCTTCCCACAGATGTCCCCAGTAAAACAAATGTGACTAAACACAGTATTGATGTAGCCAGCCAATGCTAAATCTATTAAGCAACAACCTTCTGACCGCTTGGGAATTTTAATGAAATAGCGAAAGCCGAGATTGATATGACACAAAACACTGAGAAGACAGGACCCTTACGCAGCAAAGGGTGTTTTTTCATTGCTCTTGTCTCAAAGAAATATGGTTTAGTGGCTTTTTTTTTTTGTACATTGATTTTAAGAAAACTTCACTCCGTATCCAGCTTTGATGCAGATTCAATATCATATATCGATGACCTGACAGAACAATGCTGGGTTAAACCTCTGTACATCAACACCCGTGATGTGCAGAAAGGGTAATGGCTACTCTCCAAAGGTAATTCATCTAAAGCATTTGGGACCTCTGATATTCCTGCTTGAGCTCATTGCTGATGCACAATGTCATACCATTTGCCCTGAATAACATAAAGCTGTCTTGTTATAGACACACACCTTCTCTTATCAAAGGACATATTTCCCCAGGAAAAGATGAAAGCAAGGCACATATTTGATCCACCTGGATATGAGTAAGGAGGTTTTTTTTTGTTTCTCCTCAGCCTTGTAATATACGCTCATTAGATTTTATACAAAATGTCCATTCATTCATCCCAAACTCTTTCCCCCAAACATTTTGCTTTTAATAACCTTTTTTAGGACCCGAAGTACAATAGAAATGCAGATTCTTGGCAGAGGGTTGATGTCCAAAGACTGAACGCGTATGGGGTCAATTGTCTGAAAGCAGGCAGCCAAGCTTCCAAGGCAGAGTGAGGAGATGCTGAAAGCCCCAGGAGCACTCTGGGGCCAAGACCTCAAGTAGCACTCAAAAAAAAAATAAAAAAAAAAAAAAACACCCACATTGTCCCATCAATGCTATCTTCAATAAGCAGAGCATTGTCAAGGCAATATTTTATTTCAGAAAAAAGGTGTCCTTTTCTTTCTGGAAGTGATGCCTTTTACCTTCATTCCAACATTTCTGGTTCGTGAGAGAAGTGAAAATCAGAACAGATGATCTACTGCACAGCATCCTCTGCGATATAAGCTCAGCATTTCCACAGCTCTCTCAAACTCTAAACCTTCCTCCTGCAAAAGGCTGTATACTTATGGTCAAGTGATAAGTAATCACAACTGGCAGGTGTCTGTTCTCTGAATCCAGGCCATGTTTCAGACAATTAAGCTTGCAAAAGTCATGCTAGTTGTTTCCACTGTATCTTTAGCTACCGACCTTGTGCTGCACTTGGAAACATTTCAGAGACCTCTTCCTGTTTGCTGAAAAAAGGGCGCAGCTGAAATCTACTCTGAGCTGATAACTCAGCAGATAAAAACATTCCAGCCTGCCATACAACTCTTCACTCAAAGGTCTTTCTACATGAGGATATTTGATATACCCTGCTTTAAGATTTACTGAAGCACACGATATGATCCCATGCCTCTCGCTTGCAGCCCTCCAGGAGACAGGAGCCTCTTGAAGCAAAGCAAAAAAGACAGAGCCTTACAGACAGAAACCTGGCTGCTTTCAGTAAGACCGAGGGCACAAATGAACACAGATGGGAAGGACTACTTTCATAATTAGTTCAAGTCCCTAAAACCTACAAAAAGAAAAATCACTAAACCCATGAAACTCCTTTCTTGAAGCACTTAACTTTTTGCCTTACTTCTCCATTTCCTGTGTCTTCTTCAGTTTCTAACACAAAAACCTGCTATGTTCAGTGGTCTGGTTTTCCCTCTCATTGCCCAATGTCTGAGAATCCAATCCCTCTCCTAGCCAGATTCTCCAGGTCACTGTTGGACAACAGAGCTCCATTTTGTTCAATACTGGTAACAGTAATTTGCATCTTTTTCAGTTTATCTGCTACTTCTGTGACTGCGGATATCTGGAGCTGTGAACACTATTTGAGATGAAGTCTCATTTACATGTTTTAGAGGTGGAGAATCGCTCAACATAAAGAAGGGCAGGAGAAAAAATGCCATAGGTTGATTAACGCAGAAAAGCTAAAAGTAAAAAGCAAGCTCTGCATTTAGATTTCATTTTTGCGAAATGGCAAAAGGCAAATCACTACTTCACTCCTTCTGTCCACAACTATCTGCACATAGAGAAAACACCAAACTTGGTACAATGCTATCAAAATCCATGTCTGCACTGCTCATTAATAGAGCTCCATGAGAAACAAAGCAACCATGCAGTCATCATGCCCATCAAAAGAATGTGAAGTTTTCAGCTTTATTCCTGTCACTTTAAAGCTCCTCTTCTGTTGCCAAATGTGCTTGCTTCTTAATTAATGAATTCCATTAGCCTAGATCACAGTCAGTGGTGACTGGGAAGCACAAACATAATACTAGTACACAAAAAAATCACAGAGACTTTGAGTTAATGGGATGATGAAGGTGTATTCATGTTTGCAAAATGCCACTGCAAGACTTCTGGACACATTCAAACCAAAGTTTTCTTTCAAATTAAACTTTTCCAAACCCTCCAACGTATACCCTATCCAAAGCATTTCTTCACTAAGAAAATCAAGCCATCCATGAACAGTTCCTGAAGGAAACTGATTTCACGTGCTGACAGCTCACAACTCAGGCCAGTGCATTTTTAACTTACATGAGAGGAACAAAGAGGCAAATGCATTTCTATTTCAAAAAGGAACCTAATGCAAGCCAAATATTAGGCCTAAGAAATTAAACTTGTATGATTTGTGAGGTTTCCTTGAATCTTTAACTATTGTTCACTTTCAACATATTTATCTAAATGGTTCAAAGGATAGATTCAAATTTATAGCTAAATTCACAACATACGTCGAAATTTCAAGAATAAGAGCTTAGAAAATTGCCATTCTCTGTCTGAACCAAGTTAATAGGTGCAAAATGTTTTTAATCAGAAGCAGAGATGAATATATTTATGCTAGATTTGACTGAAATAGGAGGCAGAGAAGTTTGGATGGGAAGGAAGAAAACCAGTTGGCAAGGGAAAGCATAAACAATTTTTATTTTATTTTTTGTCTCAAACTTTGGACAAAAAACCTACGCTGAATAGAATTTGGACATTACCACACACATGCACTCCCCTGCTCTGCCTTGTTACATGCTTCCTAAGGGATACTTGACAAATGCCTATAAAATCAACAGAAAATCCAACTCTAACATCTTCTCACTGTGAGCCCACACAGCCTGCTGCCGATCATGCAGACCATTTGGCAAGCACAGGGTCTGCAGGAGAGCAGCTGCTCCAGCCACTCTCTTCCAGGAACATCAGAGATATGAGGACTTGGGGAAAAATTAACCAAGTGATCAAAAATGGAATAAAAGATGTTAAGAGTTTTCCTTCCCTGTAAACATCAAATCATCCTTCGTGCCAAACTGACTTTAATATTGTTCTGAAAGTGGACATACTGAAGACTCAAGCCACTAAAAAATAGACAAATAATCTAAAGCATCCCCAGCCTCAAACAGAACTTGCAGTGTAAGCCATGGAGGCAGACAGAATACAAGGCAGCTTAAACACAAGGTACGAATATATAAAATGAACATACCCATTCCACAAAGTCCCCAAATGGAAGTTTTATTATTTTTTCTGCCTACAGTGACCCCAGTCAAGCAGCACACAGGTCTCTGGCCCTAATGGATGGATAGAGCATCTCTGCCTAGCATTGCTGCTTGAATGCAGCATTGAGGCTCCTTAAGCCCGGTATTTACCCCACAGCCACTGCTGCAGTTCACGCATGTCTTATCCACCTTACTTAAGGGCAGGCTGGATGGAGCCCCGGTCAGCCTGATCTGGTGGTTGGCAACCCTGCCCACAGCAGAGAGGCTGGGACTTAGTGACCTTTAAGGTCACCTCCAGGCCATTCTATGGTTCTGTATCCCAAGTATGCCCACAATCTGGACTCCAGAATAGCTCAGAAAAAGCACACAGTGGATGAAAATCAACATAAAAACACGTTCCTGACGAAATTCAGAAGCCACATTGCTTTCGACTTGAATGCACAAGAAATATACATAAACAAAATAGTAACAGAACTGGAGCATATTAGCCTGTTCCTTTACCACTATAAAGCATTCTTTAAGCTGTGATCATATTTTCTAAAACGGTTCAAGAGCTTTTCAGGCATTTCATTATTTATTTGGAAACATCAAATATTTGTAGTTCAACTTCCCCCTTCTGATCTTGATTGGTCCCTTACCTAACCTGCGTCCATATATTTCCCAGCTGACCCTGAGGGGCTGCTTTGATTTAATGGAATTTTTGCTTTCTCTCTAGAAACTTACCATCACTCCACTTTCAGCAAGGATGGAGCCCCACTAACTCATTCCCACAACAGAGCTTTCCCTGCAGTTGCCCACCTCTAAGAGTCAAACTCTTTTGCCTTGAATGTGAGAGATGCGTGCCAGCCTTTCTGCAGAGGTGAATATTCCTTCACAGGAATGCTTCAAAACAATATGGCAATTTTGTACTCTGTAATTTCAATCAAGACTCACCAACTGCCTATTCAGGAGAGCTATTACCCACAGCATCACACTGTGCATTACCAAAAGGTTTGCACTACTGCAAGTATTGCTCACACTGTGTGATATGCCGTAAGCATGAATATTTGCATGGAGCACAAGGCAGTACCCATGCACAGCCTGCAATACCCTCTCTTTTCTATAAGGAATCGACTGCAAAATGTGATGCTTCAAAACTCAAGGGAAATCCCACGCTTGAAGTTAGTGTGCTTACAGAACTGGAATGATATAAGAGTCCATGAGACTTATGCTCAGCTACTGATTTAACAAAAGCAACAACCCAGAAAGTTATTTGCAAACTTTACTGCAAAATTTACCAGAACCTTCTATGATACTGCAAACACACACATGGAGCTGTTTGCATCCTCTTGATCTGGTTTACTCTGTTATTACCAGCCTTGTTCCAAATTAAATCAGTCTTACCCTACACAAAACTGCTTTGACCCATTTCTCTATTAATGCTTTATAACAACCCTTTCATGTTCCCTTCTCTTTAGCTTGGCCTTTTTTTGGCCATTTCAGAAAAACCTTTAACACTCCTTCATCTCCAGAGCAACTCTTTTCCCCTGAGCTTGCTTTGTTTCCAGTTTTGATTTTATACTCCCGTGGTAGCATTCACTCTTCACATATTTGTTTACAGAACAAAAGCCACCCGTCTTTAAAAGCACTGTGGAGCAGAAAACACCCCTTTTAGGTAATTTTATTCAGCTGTGCCAATAACAACAGCTATCTCTAGTCAATCCTACTGTGATGTGCAATTACTTTCCTGGAGCAAAAAGAAGCAAGACAGAACAAAGACATGCATAAAATGTTACCTTCGGAAGATGATGTGGAAACACACAGAACAACTCAATTATGTTTTCAGACCTACATGGCATGTAGTGCTGATGAAGTACAGACACTTCTGCAATTTTCTTTCCAATCAACTAAATTTCTATTAAAATGGGCTGGCAATGCTTGTTACACTAAAGAGGACTACAAACACTGCCAGCTAAGGCACATACAGGTCACTAAAGCTGTTTGTCTCCAAATCATTGTTGCTTTACACTAAGAAGAATGGAAACACAACTCGTTCCCAGTGAAACCACCAATGTTTGAAAGATGTATGAAGGTAACTTACAGACAGCAAAGGGATAGCAACTTTTCCAAGAAAATCAGGGGGTTTATCTCCATCTTCATCAAACACTGTCACTTCCAGAACGTCATGAATATCTTTAATAGGGCTGTAATGAAAAGGGCAGGCACAAACAGTGATATTCGATACACATTCACGCAATCTTCCCCACAAAGATCTGAGAATGCTGTTTTACTAATTAAGTTTGTATTACCTTGGAGTATAAAACTAGCGTTTAATTAAATTCCAAAAAAATTGAATCAAATGATGGATATTCCCCAAGCTTTCCCCTCGTGTTGCAGTCACATAACTAGGTGAAGAATAAACAACTACCAGACGGTGGCATTTTTTGTGCATCTATGTTGATTGTAAGGGTGGATTAACTCTTCTCTCAAACAGAGAAAGCTGGTGGCCAGGAGGGGTCCAGTACTGAGTTCAAAACCAGGCTCCAGGATATGTGCATATGTGAAAAATAATCCAAGAAGCAAAACATGTAATTTCATTTGACTTGAGCTATTATGTTCCTTTTAAACTATGAGCAAAACCTTCAAAAATAATAAACCTAACAACCCTAATTAAAGGCCAAATGTACAATATTTTTATTCCATTCAATCCAAATTTTCAACTAGTGTGGCAGCAGGTACTCAATCCTGAGTATCTTATCAGATCATTAGTAGATCAGACTCATTTCAGAGAAGTTACGTGTGTGCTTGCAAAACCCGTGTAACCAGAGCTGATTTATGAGTTGCATTCATTATCTCCTCTTTTCCCTCTACCACATGCTAGAATTAAAGGAAGAGGCACATGGCATGGCACCTGCTTGTCATTTAAATCAGTGCAGCTATCCTCACTAGAAGGCCATTTCAGGGCAGTCCCGCTCATGCAACCTCTCCCTTTGACACTGTGGATTTGCTCTTTGCAGAGCAGAGTCAGGAGCTCAAAGATACCTGCGTGTCCCTCCAGCCACAGTGTGTTCTTCAGTGTGACCCAGGAACGATCTGCATGACATATGCACTATTTACAAGACCTTGTCTTTAAAATACATCAAAACCCCCTCACTTCAGCAACCAAACTTCCACATACCTCTAACAAACCATTACAGTTTTCCATACATCATAGCCACCAGTGGTATAAAATATTAAGAAACCCACAGTGTGACACAATAAGTGCGTTGCAGAATAACCAAGTATTACAGGAAAGGCTCTTTGGTGGTATTAAATGCTCCATCTGAAAGGGATTCACTAAGAACAATCCACTCTGCTCTAAATCATCACCAATAGCTTTTAAGTAGTTTGATCTTGATTAAAGGGGAAAAAAAAATAGAAAAAGAAATCTAAAGAGAGTTGAGGGAACCTGATGGGCTCTGTGAATTTGCTGCTCAGAGTGGCCATGCACCAGCAATAAGAAAGTTAGTGATAGCCTGCAGCTGACATTTCTGAGACTCTCAGGAAGTATAGAAACAAACTTCCCTTAACAAAAAAAAAAAGATTTGGGATTCTTATTAAGGTTTATTTTATTGTTCGAACATCCAAAAAGACTCATTTGTTGGCACCATCACAGAATAAACAACGAGTGGGAACTTCCTGAAAACAGACAAAGCAAAGGAAAGGAACGGACTCCAAGAGACATGCATTCAGCTGCATCCATGAATTAAACAGAAATCCAGCAAAGTACTTCTATCAAAGAGATCTGATGTTTTTTATTGTGTTCGCATCCAGCTAAGTGTTTTGGAATGCTGCTTTTGCAAGAAATCTGTAATTCTCAAACTGTTCTTCCATTCTTCTATAAATGCTACAAATGCTCGACTGCCAGCCCTCACCATCTCCTCCTTTGACACAGACTATTACAACCTTGGAGATATTCATTTCAATCAGATATTCACAAAACCTTTCAGCATAAAGGAAGATAAAGAATTTGACTGTCAGTAACTGAACTACCACTTTTTCTTACTCATGAATTCACCCCCAAAACACGCGCTTTTGTTTTCATAAAAATCTAAGCTTCTAATTTGTGTTAAGCAATCTTTGATTAGTTTAAATTCATAAGAAACAAGCAGAAAATTAGAGCTCACATTGTTCCTGTTGCTTATAAATTAAATGAGGTATTCTGCCATGAAACATTTTATTTTAAATTATGGAAAACGTAGGCATGAGTATCTGGTCATAACTTTCCATTATATTATCTCTTGGATCCAGATACAACTCCATTATGTCCAGTCATGATTCTTCCTATAAATATCACAGTAATTCTTCTTTTAATGACTTCTATTAATAAACTCCATGCAAGAACTACTAAAAGGCAAAAAGCTCCAATTGAGTTATATTTGATATTTCTCCAACATCCTCTTCTCACTATGAAAAAATGACATATCTTTTACTTGACCTTTGTATTTTTCCAAAGTCAATAGCTTTTATAGATAAGCTGCTAACTGTTTGGTGTTTCATCATGTTTTCAAAAGCAATTCACTTACAATGTGAAAACTTTGTTCCACTCTGGATTGAGGTTCTTATAAACGGTGTGTGTTTGAAGACTGTCATTTCCCAGCTCCAACACACAGAAAGGATCACTTTTACCTATGGAAAGAAAATCAGACTGGAATTAAAAAATAAGAAAAGTGAACCTGTCATTGTGGTTAGCATGCATTCTTTCGTTGTAGTACAGCCACCGAACTTGACTGGTGTCAAGGTAACTGGAAGTTGCCTCCCACCTGTGGAATGACTTGTGCTAAATAAACGATATCACCACTGCGTCTTCAGTTTTGAAATCAACACCACTTTATAATCCACTCAGGTGTCTTTGCTCCAATACCTGAAATCTGAGATTTACAGAGAGTAATCTCTAATCTCCTCAAGTTGACAACTACTCAGATGACATGAAAGCAGTACTGTCACTCTGACTCAGGAGAGTGCCAGAGCTTCAGTTACAGCTCTTTCACCCTCTTCTTAGAGTGTGTGGTCTTCTCCAGTTGATTACAGGATTAATTAGGCACACCACAAGAAGAGACGCATGGCACTGTGTCTGTATCGGTATCACTTCATCAGCCAATTCCATGTGAGCAAATCCTTGAAGCTAAGGAGACCCTACACAGCACTGCAGCTTCAGTAAAACCCAAATCAACTAAAAGATCCAACTGCAGAATCCAGGTGTGAAGCGGGCAGGGTATTTAAAACCAAAAACCAAATAGGGTAAACAAAACCTTCTAAAGAGAAGGATGCTGGTGTGGGACATATTACAGTGCAGATGTTTGCTAATGCATTAATATATGGTTTTGATAAAGCACGCTGCATGAATTTGTAGCTTTCAGAGTATAATGCAGCTCAGCAGTTTGCACCATGAGCAGAGTTCCGTTTACCAGTGTGTCTGACTCAGTATCTGATTTAATCTCATTGTCAGTTTTCATGTACAATTCAGCCACAGAATACCCAGCCTAACTTCTACATATGCAAGGAAGTACAGCAGCAATGCAGGGATTTAGGAAGTAGAGTGAAGATATTAAAGCCAAAGGTTTCTTTTTTTGTAATCTACTATTAATGAAGGGCTCTTAAGGTTCTTACTCTAAAAATATACGAAATAATGTGGAATCTTTTCAGTATGTAAACAGTGGGCATTGACTAGTTCAATATTGGTAAAATTTAAGAACTGTGTACACTACTAGAATCTGTCTTTTTTTCAGCTTACGTGCCCACTCCCTGAAAAGCAGCACTTCAGAGAAACTGCTTGAAATGCAAACTGGTACGTGCCAAAAACAATCCCACTGTATAATCTGATATTCTGAATGCTATTTTTTGGTCAGTGAGCAAATGCAGCATTTGAGAAGAACTCCCATGCAGACGCCGAAAATATCCAATAAAGCAGAAAGTCATTTTCACATCAACAAACTATTATCTAGGAATATTCAAGTGTGGAAGGCTCAAACTGGGCTGGCTCTGCCTGAAGAGCTTGTACATATTTGGTAAATCTGTGCGGAAACTTGCCTAAAATTTGTATCAAATGGCAGAGTACAGATTTCCAAAACACTGATCAAAGCAGGAGCTGTGTTGTTTCCACGGGATAGAAACCTGCACTTCAGATCTACAGCATTAACATAAGCAAACAGAATTCCCAATCACACCAAGTAAGGAACAAGGTATAACGTGACACAATGCTTCTCACCTCCAGAAGTTTGCACACCTGAGAATTGTTACTGCTGTGGGACAGCACAGGGAGGGAATGCCATCCGCTCAGACAGTTCCTTTATTAAGCCTTCAGAAATCTGCGTGCTTCTTATTGTCTCCACAATTATTCTTTTATCAGATTTTAGCCGGACTTTGAGTTTACTTTTATCAATAACAATAAATCTGAGCAGTCTCTCTGGTAATGCAGGAAATATGGCACTGCTCTAGGAGGGCTCTATTATGGAAGCCCATAATTGCTGCACTAATCATTTATGAATGGCTCAGAACAGATAATTAATCTTTATGTCTCTCATTACATGATCAGAAATTATGCTATTTTTACCTAAAATGGCTGCATCCTTTTGCAATTTGGTGGGTCTATTACAGCATAATACTAGGATATTTTCAGCCCTGCCATTGAAAAACAATTTGTCATTTGCTTCATGAATCAGGCTCAAAGCCTGGGTTATTTTGAATATAATGACAGACTGAGTAACCTTTTACTTAAGCAGAATTTCATTCCCCGCTATGCACAAGGAATGTGTGTCACAAACCCTGTATGAAAAGTCTTTCAATTGCAGAATCAAGAACCTGTGCGTCTCTTCCAATGTTCATAATCCACCCAAATGCTCCTGGTTAAGAACTGAGGGAAAGGAAGCCAAATCCTTCACCGATGGAACTGCTTTAGCATCGGTGAAGTTTTCCAAAGAGCCCCAAACCTCCTAAGCTCAGTTCTTTCCCTAAACACCACATACATATTTTGATACAGCACTAGCATTGTCATTTGACAAAGGTCGTGATTCGCCATTGCAAAGTTGCTGCACAAGCTACCTTTCCTTATTGGAAGGCTTTTTTTCCTTTGTTTTCAAATTAAATTATTCAGTTATTTGAAGTACCAGTATCTGCAGAAATCTCTCCCGATGCAGGGAATTGAAACTGAAATAGAACCATGATTAATGTTGGATTTTATCCTTTGGTCCTTATTTTAGGAGCAGTGTTCTCTTATGTTACACTGTCTGCATGAATTCCAGAGAATGGGGCAAGAGTGTTTTCTCTCTAGCATCATTCTTGCCTTTATCAACAAGTTATCCTTGACCAAAAAAAACAAAACAAAAAAAAAAAAAGCAGACTGTCAGCAAATATACAACACACAATGCTGTGACTGTGAATTACGAGATGCTGCAAGATACAAAGGGGAATTAAAAGGTCTCCAGAATCCTGGAGAAGATGATAATAAAAATAATAATATCCTGGCAGTCAGTACACAACAATATCAATTTCTAGCCCTTCCCTGGAGAAACAATATGAAGTTGTATTTTTAAAAAGTGTTAGTCCCCCACATTTTGGGAGTGCAAGTCAAAGATATTTTGCATCTCAGTTTCTTGGGGCAGGCTTCACACTGCAAAGAAGCAATGAGATTTGCTTTCCTTTGTTCAACAGTCAGTGTAAATAACACTCCAAATATGTTATTGCATCAGATGCTGGAAAACAGAAATGGAATACCTGCAAAATCTGCTGCCAGGAGGTCAACTGCCTTTAAAACTTTGACCTGTAAGAAACCAACGTCCTTCATGTCTCTAAAGGAATTCTTTATACTCTGCAAAGAGAAAAACATTTTGTTAGGATACATTAAGTTGTAATTCAGTAAGAAACAAATTGATGAACTACAAAATGGTTTACTAATATTCATTCCCTGTTTCTAGAGCATTTCAGTTTAGCAGCCAATACCTGTGTACATCCTTCCACTATCCGCTTCTCAACGCATAGCAAAACCTAAATTTCATGACATCTCAACTAGCAGCTCTTAAGAGGATTCTTAGTTCACTTAAGTTACACATTAATTTCATGATGGAGACTGAAGGAACTTTACTTGCTTATGGAAATATCATCTGCCCATCAAAACAAAATACAAGACAGAGGTAGATCTGGAGAAGCAGCATGGGTCTAGGAAGATAGCACTCTAAATCAGGTGCTCTTCAAAGTGTTATCAAGTTATTTGAATTCATCGTGCTTCAGAATCACACCCCATTTTACAGAGAGACAGGCTTATTCTTTCATGCTCAGCTTAAAAGGATTGAAGCATGGAAGCCATCAAATGAATCAGTCCACCCAAACATGAAAATTCAAAACATATTCCATATCATCCCAAAGGAGAAAAGAAAACTAAGTACTACTTTCTCTTTCCTTGATATTCAAAGTCTCTCATTCCTCATGATAAGGTCTTAACATAATTCAAGTTTTCAAAGGAAAGCATTAGCTTAAAACTCAACAAATACAAGCATCCAAATTGCTCTAGTCTATCCGCCCTGCCAATCTACTTGTCATTCTAAAGACAATAACTATTTCCAAGTAATAGTTTTCCGTGGTAAGAGACATGCTATTATGACTGGACAAATCTTATTTCTTTTTTCCCTTCTCTTTTTGTCTTCGTTTTGGTCGCAGTTTTGGATGGTTTGCAAAAAGAAGCAGAAAAGGGGTTAAAAAAAAAAAAGAAAAAAAAAAAGAAATGCAAACTCACATAGCGCTGTGCAATCTGTTTTCTTTCACTGGGGTCTCCCAGAGGGCAGACACACAGATCAGAGATGGACACTCCCGTACAAGGGGTGACAGCAATCAGCATTATCAGGGACCCCGGATGTTTTTCCAGAGGCAGCTCTAAGTAATTTGTCTGCTTCATTGACAGGGCAGAAATGTCAACTTTACATCTAGAACAACAATGCCAAGGGTTAATGAATAAGAGGAAGTAAATAAAATAAAGCAATATTTAATATTGATTTCAGTAGCAAGCAGGCAACAAAAGCTTTGTGGAGGTATGCACGTGTGTATGCCCATAAGGAACTAAACATGGAAAACAAAGCAGCCAGTTCCCATTGTACCTAATGCTGGTTTTTGCTTTCTGGTTCACCTACTGGTAAAGCAAAGGTAAAAGGTCTGGGTTGTACAGTAGAAAATTCCAGCCTGCCTCACTTCTCCTCTCAAATCCCCTGGTGCTTTGTGATGGATTTGTAAGAATTTTACTTCGCCTTGGGGAAAAGGAAAGGGGCAAACACAAAATTTAAGACATTAGCCTAAAATAGATTCGTTTCTTTAAAGTCACATACTCGATTTTATGCTACATTATACTGTATGCCCCAATCTCTTTTACAAGCCTTACTAGAGTTACGTTTTCATTGTACTGTTATATTTCCCAGAGGAAAGGGCTGCCTTGAAAGCTCCCCCCACCCTCAGCGCATTGTATGCATCATTAATCTGATGTAAAATAATAAAATAAAAAAAGAGAAACATTTATGAAGAGACAATAATAAAAGATAAGGATGGGCTAAAGGGGAGATCGCTAGACATCCATGTGAAGGGAGCAGCTCAATGCAACTGAAAGTCTAAATGCCTTCTATTTAGAAGTCCAGTAAATAGAGTGGAACTTCTCTGAACCTCTGTGGGTCTTGGCTTTCAAGAACAAGCTAAACAAAAGCAGGAAGGAGAGGCTTTGTTGTCACAGTGCAAGGGGAGTCACATTCCTCCAAGGGACGGCAAGTGGATGATGGAGGGAGAGAGGTTTCACTCCGCTTAATGCCTGCCGACAAGTTTTTATTTAAACTAAACTTGTTAAGGTGTTGTCTTAATAGGCTAAAATTCCACAGGGTTCCCCCAGGTGGGTTTCTTCTGGGTAAATGGTGCATGTAGTGTTCCTGATTGATCCCATTCCAGTAGTAGAGCTGGAGCAGTTTATACCCATCTGCTATAAATTGTGTGCTTTCCGCTTCTTAACAGCCTATTTTCTGTGAATGCTAAGGGAGGTGGGAAAAAAAAAAAAACAACCAACATTTCAGCCTGAAAACCCAACAAGCTATGTTACGAAGTGAAACTCATTGCTCTGATGAGTTTGTAAGTCATCCAGTAGCTCTGTGTATTCAAACACAGCTCTGTGTGTAAGCTTCTGACCAGAGTCAATGGGGATGACTTCGCTCTGAGTGTGCTCTTTATCATTCACCATGCTGAGCACACAACAGGTTGCAAGTTTACTCTTATTAACTGCTTTCAAGTGGCTTTGAAAGAGAAGGAAAATAAGCCAGGAAGAGTTTCAACACAGTTCAGCAAGTAGGCTGTCTCTGCATAATTTCCAAGTGCGAGAGGTTACACTTCAAGCTCATTGCTATACCTAGACTCTTCTCAAAGATACGACAAGAGAAAATGCACAGAAAACAAACCAAAAATAAAAGAAAAAGGCAAGCGTTTCAGAAAGACCTCGTCATTTTCACCCCTCAGTTCAACATCACCTCAGCTGCACTAACAGCAGTGTTACCGATACCGTACATATTCAGTGCAAAGGGGGACTGTACTTGTTGTTGTTTTTTTTATATTTTTATTTTTACAAATGAAGAGTCTGAATCCAGGAGAGAAGAGAAACTCAGGGTTACCCAGCTGGCCTGTGGTCCAGCTGGCCACACAGGCCACATCTCCCACATCAGCATTTCATACACCCACTCAAACACAATGCAGAACTAGGAAAAGCTGTGTTTGATTTTTAGGTTAAGAACTGTCCATGTGAAAAGAGAGAGAAAAGACAAAGCTTTCAGAGAATGGTGCAGCTCCCACCAGAAGATAACCTTAGAAACTTCTTGTATCTTAAAGACAAAGTTAAATACGATTCCAGTTTGTTTTGGCAAATTGGAATTGTTTCACTTATTCAAAGAATTTCATTAGCCAAAGGTCAAGGAAAAGATTGAGTATAAGGGTGTGGGGGTAGGAGGGATGCACATGTGGAGGGGAAAGCAGCAGGAGATGGAGTATAAGCATTTCTTCCTCAAATCATGTCTGATTTCCGTGCAAGCTAACTTCCTAAAAACATCTGTGTTCACTCAAGGTGATGGCATGCTGCTGCAGTTTCTTTTGAGGAACTGAAGAGAAAATCCACATTTGCACTTGGCAAATGGCGAAAGGCTTAAGAAAAAAAGACAATGTTTCATTTAGGTTATAGGAGGCAACTGATTAGGCTATAATGGATGCATCTCGACGAAGCAATTAGATGTTCAATTTACTATGAATACACTCAGAAATTTTCACACAAGCACTTCTACACTTCTAAACTGAGTCTATTATCTCCCACCCTCCTGAAAGAGAAATCCTCCATTTTCCATCTCTCAGCTTCATATCCGAAGGACCTTATATATATAATTATGTCACAGGAAAGCAATAAGAGACTATGGGGATGACCACGGCATAAAACTAATGGAGGCATTCCACAGGCTTTGCTGAAAATTAGCCAGATCTAAATGCAAAGAGCAAAATCCACAGATTATTTGCACCTGAGGAGATGCAAATGATCTCCTGAGTTAAATTCACAATGTAGTAACTTTATTTCAGAACAGAATGGCTCTGTTTGTTGTCACCCTTCCATAAATCAAGGAATTAAACTCAGGCATAATATTTCACACATGACCATACGCATGTTCTACAGAGGATAGAGGTCTGTTACCTCAATTAAACCATTTTCTTCCTTCTCTTGATCAATATAGAAGCTTAAGCCTCTATACCGACCTCTAGTCCTGTAGAGAAATATGCCACAGCTTTAGTTTTCATTTAAGATTGCTCTTTTGACATTATGGCTTACAGCCCTTATATTTATCTGCCATATCTTTTATTCACTCTTTTCCAATTAATTTTGCAGAGAAACTTTACTTCAGAACAGTATATACTAAATTTGTTTTAATTTACCAAGGAATAAAATGTGAAGATTTCACTAGGAAGAGCTGGGCTTCAGCACTTCCAAGCAGTCCATCAAATAATGGTAAGTATCCTTACATACACCTAAGTATATATGACAATGCAAAGAGAAATAGTTGCCTTTTTTCCTCCAGAAGCCTTGGAAGCCCTTCACAAAAGAGGTCAGAATCATCATCAGTATACAGTAAGATGTGCCTAAGGTTAATATTTGGAAAGGGATTCCATATGCCACAGGTGCCAGAGAGATGGTTGACATGGTCCTATTCTGACGTATAGTAGACATAAATTCAGTGAAATTTAATTTCTGCACACGTTAACACCTTTGTTTATTAATATACATTAACATCATCTCCCATTTATAGCATGCCTCCTATCCCAAAGGACACAAAAAGCACTCCATAAACGTTAGCAGCAGCTCCATGCAGACTAAATAGTGGGATTATTTCATCCAGCACCAAAGAACAGCCACCCCCCAGTGTCAGACTCTGGCAGCTGAACCCCCCTCAGTGCTGCAGTATATTACGTGAGAAATTGGATCCCAATGGAAATATAAGGACAATGTAGGTTGGCTGAATGTAATAATTTAGGTTGCAGCACACCCTGACAGTGAGGGTTCATTGCACAATAGGAGAAGGGTGAGATGAAATCACAACTTCGCTAATTCAGAAGCAGATAAATGCCCCAGGTGTTAGCGTTTAGTACTGAAGGTCCAATGCATTTCTTATTCTATATGTTCCATAAGCTTCCCGGGCACTTCAGGCTCTGTTTCAAGAATATTTTACCTTTAAACCAAATTATGCCTGGGAGAGACGTTCCAGGGGCTTAAAGCATTCATACTACATGAAATTGTGGGCCTAATGGAATGAACAGAAGTCTTTATTCCACAGAAGTTCAGCAGCATGTGACAACTCATTATTTTAACATCAAACCAAGAGTCCAACCTACACAGCCCTGAGAGAACATAATGAATTCCACAAGTTAACCACAGAATTATTAAGATCCAGCAGATTTAGCTTTTTCCTTAAAATTATGAAAATAGGTGAAAGCAGTTGGGACGTAATGCTGTAGGTAATGACTGTGTACAACCCACGGATATTTCACTTAGATTCTTTCCTTACAGCAAAGTTGTGAAATCCAGAGAATTCAAAACTCAACTTGGAAGTCACGGTGACAATAAACATGGCTCTCATAATGCTTTCTTCCCTAGGAAAACCTTTTCCAGATTAGACTGCACTTGAACCACAGATTAAAAAAATATTTATGGGGTTTCAAAAGTTTCTACACTGTGCAAACGAGGCTGGTCATTATGCATTTGGTATTCACCTACACATGCCATTGCTAAATCTCGCATATTTTTTTCCTGTTTTGGTGCTACAGTGAAATCACTGCGCTTAAGGCAACAGCAATATTTTCTTTCCACTGACAGCAAAAATAACTTTAAGGTAAATCTGACAGACACAAGCTTTCCCATTGCTGAAATCCTTAATAACGCCACTGTTTATAGAATAAGCTGATCACTTTTTGCCACGCTGAATACCTGCCTGAAAAGGAAAAAAAATAAGGGGAAAAATATAAGGAGAAATTCCTCCTGCATCAAGGAGACTGAACAGAGGCAGGCCACAAACACTGCTACATTTCTTAACTCTAAACAGAAAATATCAGAAGTAATAAAAGTAACTGTGAGAACTGAAGGAACAAATTCATCTCCAGCCACTTCTCCATGTGATGAACAACAGCATTCAGCCAGAAAGCATTTCCTGCTCTGCAAAACCACAAACATTTGTAGAGCCAAAGGGGATTGTTCTTCTCAGTGAATAGTTTCAAACTATTTTAATACTTAAAGCAAGAGGATGTTCTTATTAGTTACTGGTATTTAGTCAACAAGTTGTGAAATAATCGACAGGTAAGAATGCAAACAACTGCAGATGGCACCCCTGACCCTGAGAATTTAGGGGCTGGATCAGTGATCCAGCTGTACAGATGCAGTCTGGGGAGACAAAAGAAGAGATGAGGGCAATAGGAAGAAAGTTGAAGTTATCTCTAGGGAACTAAGACTGTGCTAGTACTGTACAGAAATGGATGGAATTAGACAGGCAAAAAAAAAAAGATTAGGACTTAACAGTAGGAGCCATATTCCATTTCTACTAAGAAATTAAAATGAAAGGTTCAACTAACCAGCCCACAAAATGTCCGCTGCTAGTGTGACTTGAGATTGGGAATTTGAAGTTATAACGTAATACTGCAGCAGGACAAAACCTGGTATCAGTAAGGAGAGAGACATTACCTGAGAGGTCACCCCTGCAAATGATGCTCTAAACAGCAAGAGATTGTGCAATAAGTTGGGGTACCAACCTAAATATAAATGAACGTAATATAAATTACATCAGCTTTTGCATTTAACCCCCCTCCAAAAAAGAACTTACGTTCCCAAAAGCTCCTCGTGCTTTTTGTTATCCTTTCTCCAGACCTCAATGTCCAACATATCCTTCCTGTCAGAGAAGTAGTGAAAATCAAACTGTTCCCTCCACTGAGGATTTGCACTCTTACACAGTGTCTAGAAAACATGCAGTTATAATATTTACTTTTCTTAAATGGCACATATTTCCACAATCAAGCACATACATTTCTTCTACAACAAAGCCAGACAAATGCTAAGAAGATCATTCAAAGTAAATCTTCACAGTCCATCAAACAGAGCCTCATAGTTCTTCCTCACAACAATGCTAGATATTCAAATGCAGTATCAGTGAATGGCTGAAGAACTGCAAGGTGGATCCCTCCAGTTCCACTCTCACTGAACCGCAGTCATCAGTCAACATCACTCATGCCAGAAGAAATCAGGAATTTGCCTTATGAAGATGATCACCTTAAAGCAGGTTTGAATTAATTCAGAAATTCAAGCTAGTATTCTTCACTCTTTAACATTAAGATATTAGCAATGAAGAAGCAGCTTTGGTAATATTAACATGCCGCTCATTTGGTATCTATAAATTGTCCTTCTGGTTCAGGGCTATCTCTCACACTTTCAGGTTACTCTGAGAAAGCAAGTATTCACCGAATTGAGACTTAAATCACTTGCAATTCATATCACACTACACTAACCACCATCAGCATGGCCACTGAGAGAACAGGAGATAGGATTAGCTGGACCATGACTGAGATTTCCTCCACCCTGGCTGCTTTTCTGGACCATGAGATTGTACTTCATAAGTTAAATAAACTCCAGGAAAGAACATGAAGTACAGACAATTTGAATTCCTTCTGCAGCATTAAAGCTGCGGTCCCCAACTCTTGCTGGACTCCAGACAGAAGTACTAAGCAATTAATTCAGCGCAGGCAACATTGGCCTGAACTCCCTCTTTTAAACTTTTCAATTTTCTGTGACTGCAAACAATGGAGAGTCATTCAGATTCATAACACAAGCTATGGACCATAAAGAGAAACATAAAAAGGGATCTTAACTAGAATACTGTGTATTTATTCTAGAATAACTAAACCATTTGTAACTTTTCAAAGCTGCTTTTCAAAATAAAAACATCATATCGTGGCCTTGGTTGAGGTCTTTTGTAGGGGACAAGAGTGCAGGTTTCAGTCTACATCTGAACGCTGTGTTCTGTGAACTTGCTCTGCTCATTTTGTACAGGAGGGCATGTAGCCTTGTTTCATTTCACATTAACGCTGAGCATCCATCAATACGATGAGCGTGTTAAATGCACAAAAACAGATACAATGCTCCCAATTTCCTTATTTCTGCATTGCTGTATACAGTAAACATCAATAAACATCTCTGAACTGGTCTCCTGCTTTTGATCTCACTTATATAAAAAAAAATAAAAATCAAGAATAGTTCCAAACTGGAGGAAATTCTGAGTGCTTACCTTACTCTTGTATCTTTGATCTCCCAGTTTCAGGAGAATGAAAGCCGCTGCCAAGCCCTCTAAGGGGATGTTCCTCCCTTCCAGGAGTGTGATGGTGACCTGTCCATTCCACAGCTGGTTCTTGCACAAAGAGTCAGAGAGCCGCATGCTCCGCATGAAACTCGACTGAAAAGCAAGTTGGAGACACAAAACAGTTATACACCCTAAGCCAGGTGTTTATGCACACGTTGACAGTGAAATCATCAGAAGTAAGAGAGGTACCAGCAGTTCCTCGCAGCAAGCAAGGAACTGAGGGCACAAAAAAGCTAAAGGTTTTCTGCCTACTCCATGCTACAGCTGACTTTGTGAAGGGACCATAATCCACATCAAAACAGCATCAGCACATTTAGTTAAACTACCAGAGAGGTCAACACCAGCAAACCTGGCTGAGCTTCAAAAACAGCAGAGCTTGAGTGCATAGAGCAAACTGTTACCTCGTCTTATGGAAAGACACAGGAGAGTGATGTGAAGAAGGGACAGAAACAAAGAGGGAAGAAACGAAAGCAAACTTAAACATCTCCAGCTACACCCATAAAACCCGGGTATGTGCCTTCCTGTGAGGCAGCCTACAGCCATACACAACCTATAGCCAGGTGAAGAACTGAAGCCACATCTTCCACCACTCACTGTCTGCCCTCTGTGTTAGCTCTTTGCCTGCAGACCTTGGGAGCTGCAGCTTCCAGAAGCCCAGCTCAGGATCCAAAAGCACCGACGCCTGCTGAAAAGCACTGACACGACTGGGCTCTTTATCAGGAGTTATGGTTACCTAGTAGGCACATTTGTTACCTTCACGATTTCCTCTTACATAGCACGGCTGCACTAACAGTTTGCTAACTGGCAGTATTTTATTGGACAGAGGATGATTAAATAGGCCTTTATTTGGAGGGAGTAAGAGTGAGAGCTGGAAACGTTAAAACTCAAGGCTATCCTCTTCTCGCAGTAAAAGCCCTACCATATTTTATTCTTGGGAAGCAACTTTTAACTCGCCACACTTTGGAGCTTCAATCATATCATATACAGGTGGGAGACGGACAGAGGAGATTTCACGAGTCACTTTAAAGCAGGACGTGTTGGCTTTAAAAGCAAGTAAGAAATGTTGTTGCTAAATAAAACGATTGAAAAAGCACCTGATGTCGGAAGATTACTTTTTATGGATCAATTACCCAGCTACAAAATTCTTAAATCACGGGTGGTGAACTCACCAATTTTTACTCGCTTCTTATTTTAAAATACTCAACTCTTTGGATCCCACAAGCATATTAATATACTCCTATTTAAATACCCTGTTTGGCTTTCCTGGCACACTGGAGAAAAATTCCTACCTTTGAAAAGAAAATGAGATTTTAATTCATAAATCCAGCTGCAATGTAATTTTTTTCTTTTTTTTTTTTTTTTTTTTTTTTTTTTTTTTTTAAGTTTGTCTTTTAGGCCAAAAAACTAAAGCATGACTGTTCCCATGGACATACTTCAAAGACCCGGCAGATATATTCCTCCCTAAACACTGCAACTATTTCAAAATCCTTTTTATAAAAAAGGGAGTAATGTCCACAAGGGATCAAAGGGCATTCTGCAGTCTGGCAATCGCCTTAGAAAAATGGCAGTGCTTCCATGAAATATGCCCTAAAATAATTTTGCAGCTTGGTATGTCCTAATTTCGAATTGGATGTTTATCTTGGAAAAGCTTCTATCTAACTTGTCCATAAAACAGCTCCACTTAGCTCTATGAGCCCTGTGAAAATGGAATCCAAAGCTGGCTATTAAAGGGGCCTGGAGATTGCTTCCATATGGCGTAACAGCATGGGAGTGGAGGGCTAAGGCCTACAGCAGGCGCTGCTTGGCTTGAGCTCCCGATCTATCCATGGACACTCGTTGCATTACACCATAACATCTGGATTATTGCTTGTAATGTCCCTGGGAAATATCCACTTCCCATCAAAGCCTTTATCTATCTCAGTTGTACTTTGAACATTTTAGTATTTAACATAGTCATGTTTGATGTGATGTACTTGCTGCTTGCGGACCAAGTATTTTCCCCCCCCCCCCCCCCCCCTTCACCCTTCCTCGGAGGAGGAAGAGGTATTTGATGTTAGTCCACAAAAAAAAAACAGACAAAGTTTATAATTCACATTACAATTTCTTTTAAAAACAAAGCATCCCGTTCTCTTCAAAGCTTCCAGACCGAACACGGAAAGAGTTGTTATCACTGAGTTTGCAAATCAAATTTGGATTCTTTTCATTTTTTAGCTAGTCAAGTATTTTAGGGAGTCACTCAGTGCTGGGGGGTGGGGGTCCTCCTACCCAAATTCGGTCTAAAATATAATCCTGCCTTCTCAGCCCCTAGCTTGATAGATCAAAGGAGAGCTGGGAGGTACTCAAACCATTCCCAGGAAACATCAGCACCTGCAGCTCAGTACTATCAGAGCACATTGCAATGCTTCAACTCTGACCTCCCAAAACAGCTGACCCTGAGCAAACAGCCTTGTGCAGCCCTACTGCATGGCTGGGCAGCTGCAAAGCATTCTGTGCTGGGGTGCTGAGTCCAGCTCAGGAGTGGAGTATGTTGGCCACAAGCTGTGCAAACAGGACCTGACTATTTTCTGGACAAGATCAAACATCACTTTAAAGCACCGCACTTTTAGAGGAGCCAAAACGTTTTCAGCTGGTTCAGAATATGGTGCTGATCTGCACCATCTCAGCAATGTTGTCTGCTTCTGCAGTACAGCAATTGTCCCTGTAATCCTCCTTCCAAATGGAGCACATGATGCCCCAGGAAGGCTGCTTCCCTTGGGACCCAATCACATCAGCAATGCTTTGGGTTTCCTGCCCTTAACCATGGCTTAGCAGGTCTGAGAAGTCTCCCGTGCCTCATATTTCCTATGTGAACACCGAAGACCTGAACTGTGCTTTCTCTGCAGCTCCCTCCTCAGCATTCCCACACAGTTGGCAGGCTATTCCTCTGACCACCCTGATCTGATCGAAATCCTGGCCTAACAGGCAATGTCTCAGTTTCCTCTCCATTTTCTGGAAGGAAGCATGTTCAGGGAAAGCCAAATGTGGTACACCCAAGGACCTGAACCATCAATGAGTCAATTTTAATGTTGCCTGGGGAAGGCTGTACTACAGAAAATGTCTCCCAGGTGAAAAGAAATCCATACTGTATTATTTATTTCAAAAGTCCCAGCTCCTCTCTGATACCCCACGTATACTTATTTCAAACAGATTTACACAGAGTTAATTGATTAAACTTCACAGCCTCGCTCCGAGTTTGCAAAACTATTACAGAACAGAGCACAGAGCACTGCAGTCATTAGCCTGCATTAGTCCACCAAAGTTAAAGCAAAACAAGCAGTACAAAACCCACTTCAAATTCCCCTAACCATCACTACACTAATCTGCCTTCACACCAGGAAAATCAAAGCCCCTGCATGCCACCCAGCATAGGTGGCTTGCTCAGTGATAATTAGAAAACATTTTTAGCTATTCAGCTCTTTCCTTCCCTGCTGCCTCCAAAGCTGCAGACGTCTCTTCATATGGGTGCTCCAGCTCCTCCTGTCTCTGAACCCTGCTCTTTCCAGCTGCGCTCCCCAACCACTTGCCAGGCTTCAGGCTTCCTGCTGCATTTTCCCTCCAAATGCTGCAGTCAGCCAGTTCACACTCTGGCTACATCCCAAACCAAAATCAAGGTGCTTTGCCGAGGTACAGAAAAGTTGGCTGCAGCTAAGGTTTGACTAGAGAGCTGAAAATTAGGCAACACATGCTTTATGATGGCAGTTGGCAGGTGTCCCAAGCACAAGATATTGGACAAGTTCACTTCCCCCACCCCCTCCAATCCAGCATCCATCATTCAGAAATTAAGCTTCTGGCCCTGAGATCAGAATTTGTGGGGTCACCTCAAGAGCTCTGACTTCACCTGAGCTCTCCACGCATTAAAAAATATTCATACATGTATATAATGTGGGTGTTGGCTTGCAAATAACCAGCGACACCATAAAAGTCATCTTTATGAGCAGCTCGATGCTGTAAAAATGGGCAAGAAGTGAAACAAAATGTTTCCCACACAAACATGACAAAGAAAATGAGCACAAGAACATCCAAGAAAGCTGTACTGTAAAAGCAAACAAGCCCAAAAACACGCAGAGGATTTAAAGTCTAAGCACTCATGTTTATTGCAGATTTAGGGACTGCAAAACATCAGGTAAGCAGTAATATTTTCTGAAGCCTTGTCATGGAGGAGGACCCTGTCAAATGAAGAACAAAGGTGGTTCTTTTCCATACACTTTCTTCCTGGAAAAAAACCGCATCTCTGAACAGGAAAAAACCATCAGCGCTGACAGTACCATTTCCAAAATTTAGTTGCTGATTTCAAAAATGAGTAGAGAAGCTTCTCGCACCAGCTTCCAGTTTTCTGCTACTTTCTGGTCTTGGTTTCAGGAAGAAAGCTGGATGAGAACAAGCAGGTGAGCCACACTGCCTTCACAGAGACTAACATTAGAGATGAGCGAGAGTGAGTTTTGGAGGAGAGAGGACTCATTGACCCACAGCTTCACAAAACCCTTTAGGAGCTTGAGTCGCCCTGTGAAAACCATTGGATATAATGTCCCTCTGTAGGCACCCAGTGAATCCCCTCTGGTGCATCGGGAGCTCTTTCAAATCTGTCTCTTTTCCTGACACACACACGCGCCCCAAGTTCAAACTTGTTTTTTGAAGCAATAAAGAGATGCAGAAAAATTGTACATTTAAATGACATGGCGAGGTGGCCAAGTGTGAAGTGAGCCCATCTCTCACATCTTTCATTTAAAAGGATGAGACAGGACAACAGAAAGCCTGCTGCAATCCCTGTGAAGAGGTCAACGTAGAAACTGGGCCACATAATTTGCCGTTTGAGAAAACAACAACACGCAAATAGAAGACTCTTTGGACCTCTCCTCATTAGGCAGGGAAACCATTTTGCAGAGGCAGTCTCCCCCTGGGATAGAGGAGAGGGCAGCGAGAATTGCAAGTGAAGCGACACGAGATTGCCGCCACGATGCATGACCCCGTGGCAGCCGAGTCCCTGCGCTCCACAGAACGCTCCGAGCACGCCGCTGCCCACGGGGTATTGTGGGAGAAAGGCAAATAGAATGAGGCAGGCCAAAATGAAACCTAACAGCCCACGCAGAAAAAGCAGAGCGAGGGATTTTCCCCTGCGATGAGACGCCGAGAAGTGCTTGGGTCCGGTCAGCCTTTCAACCAATTTATTCAATCAGCTTCGGCTATCAAGGTGGCAATTGCGTCGCTTTTGTTTCAGGACTGAATGGCTGCAGGTCAATCCACCCCAAGCAAACCTGCTTATTTGCTTCAGAGATGTTCAACACTTAAAGGTTACTCAGCTGTACAAATGCTGGAAATAGCACACGGGGCTCTTGGGGCAAGACTCAAACCACCCGGGACAAACAAGGCTACTGAGCATCACCACGTCAGACTCTGGCAGAGACAGTTACCAACTCCTTCTGCACCCCAGATAGCTCCAGAAAAATAGAAATAAAATCATAAAAGACAGTAGAACTTGCCAATACTCAGACATGAGCTCATGCGTTAGTGCTACTTAACAGCATCCCCTTCCCTTTGCAACACCACTCTCCATGAGAAAGAAGAAAGCTGCACTCTTGGAGACAGCTCCTGCAGAGGACAATGCAGTTCTCAGCTCCCATGAAAAATGAGGGCTCTGGATGTGCTGCCCATGTCTTGGGGTGCTGCCCAAATGTGCAATGATTCCCTCTAGCAGCAGTGAAGGATATATACTGTGTAATCAACAGATAGCTAAATCATCCAGTTTAACAGCTCTTGCACCAAAATGATTTAAAAGACAATATTCAGTCGCTGAAATCCTTCCTGCATAATATTCGTAACGAATGTGAAACTACTGTAGCTAGACTGGATTAACTCATCCTGCTGCTGTTTCTATTGTTGTCTGAAATGCAGCTTTTTTTCCCTGGAAAAACAAGGGAATGTGGAGAACACACATGAAAAGTATGCAGCATCTACAACAGCCCGGGTGAGTCCCTTCACCTGTCTGACACAGAGTCACCTTGGGCATTAATACTACCACCAGAGGTACTACATATCTGGGGTGAAGCCAGCAGGAACCCCACAGCTAATGTAACAATTCATTTAAAATAGTCATGTTCCAAATCTGCTAAGTGCACTGAGATAACACAAAATGGCCAAAACAGAGTATAGCTCAATTTCTCTCATGTAAGGGGAAAAAAAAAAAATGAGATATATGCATTTTTGCCCATCTTCACAGTAAGTCAGTTTCCTTGCGTTTTTTTTTTAGGAAAAGAAAAGCTAAATATTACAATATAGGTCAGCTATAGTTCACTTTTAATGAAGTCAAGAAAACCATTCCTAATAGAAAACTTCTATTTGCTTAAACCTGAAGAGATGAAATTTAGATCTGTCTCAGTTCAGCTGCTCAAATGGAAAGTATATGGCCTTTATTCCTGCGACAACCAACCGGAGTCAGCTCAGGAGCCAAAAAGGAGATGAGTTTGTGCATGCATTACAGAGCTCTTCCCATTTCCCCTGCCCCCCTTATTGCTGTATCTTTATCTCGTCCAGCAACATTGTTTTCTACCCCATCATACTCTCTGGCCATTCTTCCATAACCTCTTGTGCCTTCCCTAGACACCTATATTCCCCACGCACACCATTTTTCTTTCTTGCCTTTATGTTCTGCCACAAACTGCTAGTACTGCTTCCACAGCCCAGAGTTTCCTAACTAAAGATGGTTATTGATGTACAGTACTAGTGTTTTAGTGCAGTAGCAGAATCAATAAACTAGGAAATACTGCTTTGTCAGATTTTGCCACTGCATGCCGGGAAATATTTTTAGTGCCTTTGGATGGTCACAGAGCTTTTTCTTTAGAGATCACACTGGAGCATGAACTATGTCTTCGCTTGGAAGAACTGAAGCTCTCCTACCCTCTAGTGACTGTAAATGAACAGAGCACAAGGTTGCAGCTTTCCCCCCTCCTCGTTTAAACATCACTTGCATCTCTCGTAACTTGGTCCCATGCCTTAGCATCTCAATTTTATATAAAAAGATGCCTCGGCACAAGCCAGAGTCTTGAGAAGTGTCAGACCTGACAATATGGCTTATAGCTGAAGGTCTAAAAAAGTGTGTATATAAAAAAGATTGTTCAAAATGCAATGAGATACAGCATACAGTAGAAAAAAAACACACGACAGCGACCAAGACAGAAGTTTGGCTATTCTGCACAAAAAGGAGCAGAGTTTAAAACCTGTCTCCCTTTCCTGGGACCCAAAGCCAACCAGCGCCAAGAGACAACTGTGTGTGCCTGCGTGAGGGGGATCGAGCTACACCAGCTGAGTGAGGGCAGAGTAATTTCAAGAGCTTTACTTAAAAACTGAAGCACTGAGCTCTCCAATTATTCCATTGCTTTCTGTCGTATTGAATTCAGGGATGTCTGGCAGGCCTCTGCAAGCACAGCACTAACAGGTCTGTGTTATCCCCAGAACCAGGACTTGCTGAGCCACCAGTCAGCTCCAGGGGCTCTACTCTGCACCACTTCTGTTTACAGAAATATTTTTGCTGGGACAATATCTGAGAGAATAGGCTCTTCTACATACCACAACACAGTTACGATGAATAAAACAAGAGGAGATTCGTTATTCAATTGATGTAGGCACAAATGGATAGTTATATAGGGAAAATATCAAATGCATACGTGTTCACATAGGAGCCAGATTTTGATTTTCAGGAGGAGCTTCATGGCTCTCAGGATGACTATTGGGCATTGCAGTTTCTATATCGTTATTATTTGCTCAACAGCAAATTAAAGCTTTACAGAACAAATGAAAATCCACAAGTCTGTTTTCTGAATCAGTTAAAATCTCATGCAAAAATGGGATACTGCAGGAAAGCAGATGTAATGGCAACCTTCAGGGCTACTAGAAAAGACCAAGAAAAACATGTTCCATAGATATGTAGCAACACAAATCTTGAAAATCCTACTACATTGCTGGTAGTGATAACTGCCTGCTCTTTCTCCATCCTGAGAACAAAAGGAATTTGCAAACCCACAGAAGTAACCAACAGACATAAATACTGCCTCACAAATTCCTTCAGTGGCAAGATACACTCCAGCCAATCCAACTGGGAACTAGCAGACCTGTTTTCAAAACCAGTGCTTACACATTCAGGTACTCCTAAACAATTCAAATCCTCCACAGCTTTTTGTTGCTGTTGTTTTTGAATCATAGAATGGTTTAGGTTGGAGAGGACATTAAGGATCATTTAGTTCCCTTGACATGGGAAGGGCTGCCAACCTCCAGATCAGTCTGCCCAGGCTCCAGGATGAATTTACTCCCATTTTCAGATAGTTCAGACTCCTTCTGCATTACTTTGCCAAATGAGGCCTTACTCTCATTTGCTGATAGGTGCAACCATAGAACATACTGTAAGAAAACCAAAGTAATTTCTCATCACACTGAAAAATCAAAAAAGCAAAGGGAATGGCAACTACCACACTTAGGTTGCACCTAGACTTTCAAAGTTATGATGCTTTTCAGTTTGTTACAGAGGAGAGCACAAAGGTCTGGGGAACAGACCTTTTTGAAAAGAAAAAGTATGAATTACCTTGGATGAAGATCTCTTCTTCCGACTTGACCATCTCTACTCGGGAATCCCCAGCATTGTACCAAAGAGAACCAAGAGAGGGGAAACAAAGGAGTAAAATGGGGAAAGTTGTTCAGTAAAGTAATTCAAACATCAGCTTATAAAACTTACTGGAAAAGCTCATTAACAAGAAGGGCTTGGATCTACTATTGCATTAATTTACCTTCCTCCTTCATGGCACCATCAAAAACTCAAAATACCTGCATTGCACCAAAAATAAGAGGACATAAAAAAAATCAGGAAAAATAATCTGAGGGACAGAGAGCCATTAGTAAGAAACATGGCTTATACTTTTGGTGCCATCTGGTTCTACAGTAAGCTAATTTAAAAAAGAAAAAAAAAAAAAGAATCATCTTGCTGTTAAGTGCTAATGTGGACAGAGCCATTTCACTATTCTGATTCCAGTGGAAATGGCTGAGCAATTTGCATTTGAAATACGAGGGCTTAAAACATCATCTTTAAAAAAAATTACAGTGTGCACCAACTCTTCTATCATCCGCACTCTGAATGTTAACTAAGCACCCTAGAGTACCAAAAGCCTCTACTTTAAACCAACATATTTTCTGTCTCACCGGCTAAGTCCACTTTATTCCATGTCTTCTTAAAAATCCCAGAAGAATTCCAAAGGTTCTTGTGGCTAAATTACTTTTTCCAAAAGATGCTATGTTCCTGCTTCACCCCTTCCTTTAACCCAGTGACACTTGCCAACAACACTGTCTTGTACAAGCTCACTGGGGAATTCACATCTCGGATTGAAGCCACTGTCTTATAACATAGGCATACAAATACAGCAGCAGCGCTTTGACGTCATTAAGTCTTTAAATAATCACATACCAAAGTAGAAGTAAATGTACAATTACCATAAAATAAACAGAGAATTTCATGTTTTTTTAAAACGCAACAATCTGAAAAATAATTACTGAAAAGCAGGCATCCCATGTCAACTTTTCCTTCTTTTTTTCCAACTTTTGCTTTCAAACCCTTTGAAACACATTTCTGTAACTAATCCCGTTTAGACTATAATTTCATACCTGTAATTCAGTGTGCTGTAAACAGCAACTTCCATACTAGACTATACAGAAGACTGTAGAAAGATTTTTGTATTTATATTTCTGTTTCATATTTAAAACTAGGCTAGCTTGAAAACCAGGGCTAAGAAAATACCAAATTGTGTCTTATCCCCACCACTTGCAAAGCTGCTCTGTGGACAGGAGCAACATGAGTTCACCAATATGGCATGCTGTATCCAACACTGGTAGTAATCTTAGAACTTTAAAACAACAACAAATTCAACATATGCACAACATGAAATTTTAAAACTACCATCAGCTTTGAGTTGTTCACAATATCTGCCCGGTTTTGTTTTGTTTTTTTGTCTTTTTAGCATCAAAGCTGCACCATATTTCAGCATCAGGAACCAAGTTCAAGTGAACTCGAGTCAAGAAACTCAGTAGCAGTAGCTATGAGATATGGTTTAGTAGCTTGTGGTACTAATAGGAATGGGAGGGTGGTTGGACTAGATGATCTTGCAGGTAGTTTCCAACCTTGCGATTCTGTGTAGCAAAATCAGTTGTTATGAGAAATCTCTTCCTCTCAGCCCGTGTGTTCTTCCTGCTGCATTGGAGCAGTTTAATCTTGATTTTAAATCCCTACTTTCAGATGTTTTTCTTTGTTTGGTTTTTGTTGTTGTTTTTTCCCCCCCCCATGAACTGTAGTGTGAGAGAAAAGAATTGCATTCAAAATGTTGGGCTCTTTCTCAGTGTTAAAATCTAAGCTCTTTGATGGAAATCAGAAAACAGCATGCTCTGGAATAGCAATTGCAAGAGTGGAAGATAACATGCACATGATACATGGAGAGCACTGACACACTGCACTTCACAACTACAAGACAAAAGTATTTAGCTACAGATGTCTAAGCATCTATTACTCAGTTAAGTATGGAGTTGTTTCTTGTCTTTTGTTTTGTTGTTTTTTTTTTCCCTAAAGCCATCATCTATATCGATTTCAATATAGAGTTCTCTGAAGATGAAAATAAAGGTGGCATTTCGAAGTAAATCAGATTAGGTCAGGTCCTTCCCCCCACCTCAACACATTTCAGCTATAAATTTAATTTCCTAAGCCACTTACATTTCTCTTGAAGTCTCCTTGCTTGACTGCTAGACTCAAGTTTAATACAATCACTCCCATGTCATCTTCTAAACTGTTGGGATCCTCCAGTTTTAAAACCTGTTCAGTAGTTCTACAAGCAAAAGAATAAAAAAAAAAAAAAAAAAAGAGAAAAAAGAAAATATGTGGATTTGTTGTCTTCGGTTAACTCGAGTTCATTCCTAAAGGTCACTCTGAGCTGTGCAAATTTCAGCCTCTTGTCTGAATTCCCAATATTGAGTTTAAATATGAAAGCAGGAAGTCTGAAGGGTTCGCTGACGGTCCCGACAAAACGCACAACCCTTTTAATAGCACGTCCTATCATGATGTTATTACGTTACCTGCATTTCTTCAGATGTGGGTACAAGCTGAAATAAGTTACTCCTGCCTCCATTTCTCAGGTAAGAAGAGTGACAGAAACTTATCCAAGTGAATTTTCTAACATTAATGGCTGAGACTTGACTCGGGATACGTATTCTACCTTACCTCCATGTGCATTTAATCTCCCTCTGTGACTCAGTTCCCTCTCTGAAAACGGTAATGCTGACATTTACTTGGTGGCACTATCTGACAGATAAATTCATTAATGTTTCTGGAAACACACAAACAACAGCCATGGGAGCTATAATACACCCGCACAGGGAGAACTCATTTTCTCAAAAAAAAAAAAAAAAAAAAGAAGGAAAAAAAGAAGTCACACAGTGAGCGAGTATAAAAGAGAGAAATAAAACTTGAATTCCTGGCTTCCAGCTTCACATTCAGACCAAGCAGCAGTAGACAAAAGCGAAGGGCTTTGCCTCTGCACTAAATCAGGGCCAGATGCGGATGCAGCAGGGCTGGGTGGCTGCAGGGGGAGGATGGAATTTGGGGAGCTCGCCGGCAGCAAGGCAAACCACTCCCCAGTCAAATAATCTGCAGAAAAATGCACCCTGCTCTACAGGGGGCTCGTGAGGGGTTCTCAGCTTTCTACCCCCTTTCTTCTGCCATAAATCCACCTTCATAAATTATTCTGGCACAGCTAGAAAAAATAATCCCTGCATATAGAAACTCATTCTTATTTCTAGGTACAAAAAGAGCAGCTTCTTCTGTCCAGGGCTCCATCCAGGTAGAACTGCAATCCAGTACATAATGCCAGATAAAACCACACCTATTCGGGATTTATCTGAAGCTAATTTCTCATTTTTGAAACATGTTCCTCACCCTTCAATCAGAAGATGTTTCCACAAACAGATAAATTCCAAGCTATAGCATTTCATTGTTTTATCACGTCCCTCTAAAGTGCAATAACAACATTAATTAAATAATCATGTTACCTATTGAGTTCAAGTTCAGTGAGCACTACAAATGCCGAACCCATGAAGTCAGAAGAGGTTAAGTCTCGATCGTACACCTGGTGGCAAAACAAAATTGATGTTTAGAATGTTCACATCACAAGGCAGTTTTATCCAGCTGATAGAAGAACAGATATTTTAAGGCTTTTCAGATCAAAGCTAAAATATAATTCAGGGCTAATTTTACATTTCCCTGCTTTAATTTGTATTTTTAGCTAAATATTTAAACAGCGTTTTCAAAGTATCATCTTAATGTTATGTAAACAAAGACGTGTGCTGCTACAGACTGCGCCTGTTCCTTTATGCTCTACGATGAAACGCTGCACAACATCAGGTAGTTCTTGCTACAGATGTTTTAGCAATTAGTGCTCACAACTGGTAGCCTGCAGTTCTGGTAACTGTAATGGTACTCATAATGAGAAAAGGCTTTGCTACTTGTCACGGTTGCATCCCAGGCAATAACTCTGTTCAATCCAGCCAAATTGCACTCTTAAAATGAGCATATGAAACCACTATTGATTTCACTGAGTTTGCCCAAGCAAGGTAAGTTACAGCAGAATTGAGCTCTGTACTCTTAAATATATCCACTCAAGGAATTTCATTTCAACTTGAATTTTCAGTGAATGAAAGCAAAACGTTCAAGTGAAATCTGGAAAAGACATACGTGCATCTTAATTTGAAATTGCTGAAACCCTTAAACCGGATCGTGTTTTACACGATGCTACTATGTGAATAAAATAATCACTAGGTTTTTACAGCAGAAAACAATTGGCTTAGAAAAATATTTGTGTATCTTACACAGAATTAAAAACCAAGACTTACCTTAACCCAGAGTTTTTGATCAAGGGTCTGTACAGGCAGCACAACAGTCTCATCCCAAACTGGGTTTAGGTTCTTGTAGACTACCTTACTTTTGTATAGAGTTTTCCCATTCAGCTTGAATTTCACATACGGGTCACTTGTACCTGTGATAATTATAAGGAAATAGATCAGCACTGCCCCCGTGTAAACCCACAATCTGAAAATATAATTTAATAAAACCGTACCTGACAACAACAATAAATAGTCTTTCTTTTAATATGCATTAACACGCATATATAGAAATTCCTACTTTGTACAGGAAATCAATTGAACATCACCAGAAAGTTCTCTGAGAGCAGACAGCAACATCTTCATAGTTTATTTGATCTCTTCCTTATTATTCTTATGGAGTGTTAATTATTCTTCAGTATCTTTGTTAGTATTTTGAGTAAAGAGCAAACAAGGATGAAGAAATATTTACAGGCCAATTAGGAACACAGACAGTAAAAGAGAAAATGTGATCCTGAAACAATAAATAGCCAGACCAAAACTAAAAGGCATTATAACTCTGGATAGGAGTGCCAAGGACACCAGTAACAATAGCTAAAACACCCATCAGGATTTCATCACTGGTGTCATTCGCCCATTTGCTTAAATCCAAATTTGAAGTTCCGCTGAAAAAAATATTGACATTATTCACCAGCTCAGGATAGAATCACATGGAGAACAGATTCTATACAGAAAACCAACAATACTCAGGTAACCCGTTTTTTAATCCAAGCAGCACATCCTGCCATGGCAATAATGTCCCATATTTTTATGGAGCAGATGTCCATAGACAGACCATGAGGCTCGTGCCACTCGGCAGCAATAGACAGACTTGCAACTGTCAGAAAAAAAGAGAAGAGGGAAACTGTATTATTATTACTAAACCAATGGTTTCTGCACTAACACCGATCACTATGCAGGATAACAAAAAAAAAAAAAAAAAGGGAGTGAGGTATGGAAAATATTTAACTAGATGGTTGATTTAGTAAGGCACACAGACTACAAAAAATCACAATTGCCAATAAGTGAAAGAATAAAATTGAGGCGTAGCATCATTTACAATTAACCGATCCCAAGTGCTGCTTATCTGTAATGTTCAATATTGTCTGCACTGTACTTTACATTTAGAATTCCATTCCCTTGCTAACAGTTCCATATCAGCTAACCCAACAGATGCATCCACACCGGGCACTGCAAGCTGCCAGTGCAGCCACCACCACAAACACTTCATTTCAAAGCGATGCTGCCGGCACAACTTCAGACTTCACAGCTTCAAAAATAATCTCAACATGTCCTCCCAGGTCACCAAAGAGCTACCGGTGATGAATGAGAAGATATGATCAATGCTATGTGAAGAAAGATGCAGCCTTGAGAAAAAATAGCTAAGCAACAGCATCTATTTTGGCACTCAAGGACGCAGTGGGCATGGTGGGAACGAGAGGATGGTTGAACCTGATGATCTTAGTGGGCTTTTCCAGCCCTAACGATCCTACGATACTATCTGGAAACAAATAGTAAATACCAAGAAGAATGGTATGTCTGGGAATATACAGAGTTATTTTTAAGAATTATAGTAAGTTTTTATTTTGCTTTCACTTCAGAAGTGATAAATCACAGAGCCCTGTCCAGTTCTGCACGTAAGGGGTGTTTCATTCACAGAAGGAAAATACTGATTGGATTTCAAATACTACCCACAAACGATTCTTTTTTTCAATAGTAACTGCTGAAATCAACTTTTCTGTTGGGAAAAACATCACACACAAATACAAACTTCTTTTCCTTCTCCTCTGAGACATGTTAGTAGCAAAGGGCTGATCTAAAGGCCAGGGAAGTCAGAGGTCAGCTTCTCATTGGTATTAGTGGGTTAGGAGTAGACCTTCCACTAGGATACCTATCAAAACTATGATTGAAGTGCCACATAAAGCACACAGCTTAGAAACAGCACGCTTTACACAATGAATGGAAATAGTAAGATAAAACACAGCTCCACTATGTGGGTAATGACCCTCAGAGGATTTACGGGTTGAGAAATGACATCATTGAGCTCCGGGGTGTTAGCTTCTCCCAGCTCCAAAGATCCCAACTCCGTTCTGCTTTAAAAGGAAAAGAAAAGATGGGTAGGAAGAAAGTGCACGCTCAGAAACAACAACAGTAATAATGACGTCCGGAGCCTATCCTGTCCACAAAATAGTAACCAGCTTAGATAAGGAAAGCAGTTGATGAAATTAAAGCATGAACAGGATTGAAGGAGGTCTGTGGTTGTAACTCAACTGGTTTTGGCACTGAAAACCCATGAGAGAGGGCAAAGCCTAAAAAGAGAAAAAGAGGAGCTGGAGAAAGCAAACAGCCAGCAAGTTCAATATCTGCCAGCACGAAACTCCAAGCCCTTTCTCCAAGGATGGGAAGCAAGAGAACCATATCTAAGTAAGCACCCTAATTGCATTATTGCTCTGAAAGCTTTCCAGATCATTAATAAAGGGAAATAAAAAGAGGGGGAAGGGCTGTCTGGTGCTGTTCATGTGAATTAGGCTTTAGCAGTCTTTCTTTTTAAAAACACACATAAGAGGAAAAAGAATACATACAAATATATATATATATATATATATATATATATATATATATATATATATGTATAAAACAGTGGGGAAAAAGCTGTAATAAAAAAAAGAGGCCTTTAATTAAATAAGATTGCCACACTGGGATCAGGCCTTCATGCTTGTCAGCTTACTCTCAAAATAAACATCTCAAACCCGGGCCTCAGTGGTGTCACTTACTCCAGCAAGGCACACTGGGTAATCCCTCGCTATCTTGACAGCTACATAATGTTCAAACTGTTTCACGGGTGAATGGCGGCATTTGCGCAAAAGAAAATATTAATGCCTGGAATTAATAGAAAAAGGGATGATGGCTTACAAAAGCCAAACAAGGGAAAGGTGTCAAGTTAGTGCGGTGTTAATTGTTAGGGAAAATAATTGTGAGCGGGCATGGGTTTCGGCAACGCTTGGCTGCCGGGCTGTCAGAGGGGTAATGTCTCAACTAGGCAGGCAGGGGAGCGGGGCCAGCAGTGCAGGAGAGCAGCTCCGACATCCTACAAATGACAGAATGGCACCTCTGTGCCAGCAGGCAGATGGATCTCAACCTCTGACATGGCAGCTGGACACGTACTGGGGCTCGGTGGCATTTCTTTGGGCTGACTGAGTTAGGCAGGAAGGCTGGATGGAGTGGGTAAGGCACTGCAGCCCCCTTTGAGGCTTTCAAGGTTTCCCTCACATAGGGTTGGCAATGCTGCTGCGTCTCCCTGGGTCACTGCACTTACTTCTGGTGGTCTTTAAGATGCCCCAGATTGCTTTCAGGTGTTCAGTGCAGGGTAAAAGTAGACAGGGGATGAAAAGTGGGGCAGGTGGGGTAGCCATACCTGATGGGATGAATAGCACAGGCTGCAAATTACTGTCAACTGCAGCTGAGCTCAAGGTTTGAAGCCTTCTGGATTCAAGATCAGACAGATATTTGCATCTATTAAATGCTATTAATTAAGGACAATCTACAGTCTATCCAAACAGTAAAGCTTTTCAAATCAGTGAATGGTGATTTATGATATGAACTGATCTAAACTAAAGGAGGATGTTTTAGCTTTCTATTAGACAAAACAGGTGCTCAAGATACTCTGAAGAAGCCAGGCCATTGAAAAAAAAAACTTTTGAGAAGTGACCCCCCCAGCAAAGGCAACCAAGACAGTTAGCAGAAAAAAAGGAGAAAAAAAAAAAAAAAAAAAAAAAAGGATGACTTCCAAACAACAACCAGCTGATCATTCTATCAGCTAGACCTATTTTCACGCAAGAACATATCAAAAGGGATGCTCACCTCCATTCTTTTGCCTCTCTTATCTCCCACTCCAACTACAAAGACACAAGTGCAGGCACAGCGAGCCCCAGCTAAAACCCGAGCAAACTCTGTGAGCCAAAGCGTCTGAGACACAGCAGCAGGACAAGGTTCAGCGGCACAAGAAACTGTTAATGGCGTTTTTAAATGGATACTGCTGCCCTCTAGCAGCCAGCAAGAGATGTGCCACATCAGCCATATTAACAGTATACACCTTTGATCCATAATTAGAAAAAAAAAAAAAAACACCACCAGAAATAAAAACTAGAAATAGAATTACTGGAGTTATTTACAACAAGTAGTAAAAGACATTTTATAATGGAACACACTCTTTAAATGGAGAACCACTGTCCTTGTAGTGAAATAGCTGAGATCAAGGCTTAAAGGGGAAATCAGGAAGAAGAAAAAAAAAAAAAAACCATGTAATCTGAAAGCAGGAAATCCAGATAATTTTGGAAAGTTTCGTGCACAGCAAATTTTAAGTGACCAGACAGAAACAAAACATTTCTCGAAAACAAGCACCACCAATACACTCCAGGGGAAAATAAACCAAAACAACTTAACAACATATGAGAAGAATGCATGCAGATCTGTACGTGAAGAAAAACAAAAAAAAAAGGTAAAATTAAGGATATTTCCAAATGATAGTTAAAAAAATAATCCTTGCAGAAACTGGATTCATCGCAGCAGCACAAACCACTGCAGCACGAGCTGCTGTATGCAGAGCCATGCAGAACCCAGAAAACATCAAAAATTAGTACTGAAGCCATTCAAATCCACAGCGTTTGTAAATTAGTCATGATTAAGCCTTTCAAAAAGAAGTGTGAAAAGTTGCCTAATACATCTGAATAATTAATAAATCTGAAGAGCTAATGATCTAATTGCAGATACCCTGAAAACAGAGAGAATTTAAATTAATCAGTGTGTTTGCAGGGAGTGATTCAGCCTAATTGCTCTGAGCACTTGCTTTCCAAACAATGGATTTATTCTGTGCAAGCCGACAAACCCCTAAGTCTTGTGCAAAGCCATCCAGCACTGCCACCACCGCAGAGCTGGGCAGGAGACAGCGCAGAACTACGGCTGGTGCAGGTGTACAGCAGGTGTGTTGGTGCTTAAAGAAGGAAACGTGTGCTATCCTGTCCCCTTTTCTCTCCATTTGCTTTCTTTCAGCCCCTTTAGGTTCTGTGAGGCAGCTCTCAGGTCTCTCTGGAGCCTTCCCTCCTCCAGGCTGCCCCATCTCTCAGCTTGTCCTCATAGTGGATGTGTTCCACCCCTTGGGTCATTTTTGTGGCCCTCCTCCAGATGAGCTCCAACAGGTCCATCTCTCTTCTGTACTGAGGTCTCACAGCAGAGTAGAGGGGCAGAATCACCTCCCTTCCCTGCTGGCCACAGCTTTGGATGAAGCCTACAATACATTTGGCTTTGTGGGCTGTGAGGGCACAGTGCTGTCTCATGCCTGCCCTCTGAGCAGAGATGAATGGATTCAGACAGCAAGCAGACAGCCCCTTCTGCACTCCTGCAACCTGCACTGCTCCCTTTGTGCAGTCACTTCCCACATTCTACTGTCTGGATCACGAAAGAAAAGAAATGAGAACAAAACCAAAGCATAGCAGCAGGAAACAATCAAACCCGAGAGGAAGAAATGCAATAGGACTGCCAGGGTACAAAGAACTTGTAAAGATCTAGAAAATGCAAAACTGTGCAGAAAAGAGAGAAAAAAATCTGTTAGAGCAATGCAACTGAGGAAAAACAATAAAGAGAACGACAGAGATTCACCAGCTGACATCACATCTGAGAAATGTATTTCTCATAACCACAGCGTGTAACAGAATTAAACATACACTCCAAGCCTGAAAGTATGGAATTTAGAAGCATGAGGAGCTTCTCACCCTTAAATGCACTCAAAAATATCTGGTTTTTTTTCGCAGTAGTATAGTGGAGTTTGTCAACAGAAGGAAGGCAACACCTCCCTGCAGCTGTGACACCATCTTGCTGCTCAGTGTCACAATGAAGCTGTCCTGTGGAGCCGGTTGGTCCTACAGATAATAAGAGGCACAGCCAGAGCATCCCAGGGCCAGAAGAGACTGTGACATTTCAGAATTTGTTAGACCAAATCACACAAACATCAGGCATCCCTCTGCCAAAGCAAAGTGGAGGAACAAGTAGAAATAGGCTCCACCTCCTCCCAGTTCAAAGCACACAGAGCTGGAAGTCATGAGCTTCACAGAAATGCACTCAAGGAGGCCCTAAAGCTACCAAACGCACCAACAAACTAACAATATTTGGAACTGGTGGCTTAGAGTGCTTAATATTTTGTCAAAGCCAAATAAAACGTACCGTAATTTTTGCTCCTGCACAACTGAGCAGTGTTGCCCAGTATGCACATTTCAATAGTAAAACGCATTTTGCTTTGTTACCATTTACAGTATTAAAACTACACAAGTCACAAACTCCTTACCATTACCATTATGTTCCTGGGTTATTAGTAACAAGAACACTACACAAAGTGCACAAAAAGCAAAATGTTGGCATTGGGTTGGTATCCACACGCATTCACAGTGTTTGGTTCATTAGTTGCAGCTGTAAATAGGGGAGGACCCACGCAATCTGCCATGAGGCACAATGTACCCACTGCCACTCTCCAAGCACACCTTCCAGTCTCCTTAGGCAGTCTCTAGTGTATGGCCATGGTGGCCTTTACCCCAAGAAGCATAATTGAGAAGCAAATAAACCAGATTCCAAGAAAGCTGACGGTCAGTGAGCCCCTAGGAGAGGACATTGCAACACTGATCAAGAGAGGGATATATTTGGAGCATCTCTCAGTTCTACCAAGTCAAGATCCTGCTCTACAGCTCTTTCCTCCCTTGGCTTGGATACATAAAGACGACAGCTGAAAAACAGTGGGAGAGGCAAAAAGTGAAGAAAAAAACAGCAAGGAGTAGAAGTTAACAGATAATATTATGAAGGTAAATAAAGAGTGAGAAAAATCTGACTAAGTAAAACCAAAGGAAACGCGTCCCTAAAAGAGTATGCAGTGAGTGAGAGTTCAGAAGAGTATCTGCAAGGTTTAGAAAAAGTGAAGTCACACCAGTCTTAGAGCAGAACCATTCCTCACCTTCACACAGCCAAGTGCAATTACTGCCTTCATTACAAATGTGTAACAAGCCAACTCAGGGAAAGACATGAACCTGCTAAGAAGAACCAGGACTATCCAGCAACAGCTGTTTTCAATGGCAAAAAGATATTTTCTCTGCCAAACACCTTAGATTAATACATGCCTACACACATGTATTAAAGTGCCCAATGCAACTGAAGTCTCTGCCCTGAGGATGGCAGAGGCTGCAGACAAGGCAGCAAACAGGCGGCAGAGGGCAGCAGGGACACACGGAGAGGCTTCTGCTGCTCCTGCAAGCGCCTGAGCCTCAGCAGGAGCTGTTCAGGGAGCTGCCAGGGAGTTTACATCGAGGGCAAAAGTGCAGGTGTGAGAACAGGGTAGGGCACCACACAAGTGCAGTTTTCTTTGAGCAAACACAAAGCTTTCCTGAAATATACATCAATGGATTTGATTGCTGCTCAAAAGTCTCTTTTCCCCCCAAAGCAATTGCTGTTACTGCAATGACTAAAACCAAAAACGCAGGCAATCTACAAAACTGATCTAAAGCTGAAGATGCTGGTAATACACTCTTCATTCAGGCTCTGTGGTTTATATGACAACTTTTTGTCCTTTCATTTCCATCACTTATCACTTAACACCAAGTATGACCACTGTATGTGAGCCAACGCTGCTGAACTCCTACTCACAAAGCCTGACATCCCTGCTACCTACCTGAGCATTTTTGCAGTTGTTCACACAGCGTTGACCAGAGGATGTTCAAACCCCCCAACACCCACACTAAAACACATGACAGCAACACAGCATTTACCCACTGCAGAGTTCTAGAGAACCCTGCTGCACGTTAAAAGAATACGTGGTGAACAGGGTTTGAAACCATCACACAGCTGCATCAGACAGCTTTGCTTGGTTAGATCTAGGGGGTTTCCTGTTCCCAAAACATGAATGAGCACGGTTTGGCCTCCAGCCCCAGCTCCACAACCAGACTGAAGGATGCACTGGCTGCAGGCAGCTTGTTCCTATAGTCAAACTATTGGAGTGGGTTATTACACCCCAGCTCAGCGACCATATCTGGAGTCACAGTGAGGGAAAGAAGGGAAGTTACATTCTCCCAGCCTGCAAGTTTTCTGAGGTTTCCTCATGTTGGCTTTGCTCATCGCTCCAACAACTTCCCATTTATAAGAACACACTGCAAAACCACCAGCAGCTAGAGCTCAGACCTACATATCTCACAAAGATCCTGAGTAACCAGTAGGACAGCACAGATATATATGGATGTGCATTGGGCATCACCAGTATGTTTTCCTGAAGAGGCCACCAACATGACTGTGCCTGAAGAATAATTACTGAGTCACTATTTCCTCCACATCCCAATGTCCATTTAAAGAAAATAAAAAAGCAGGAATTTTACTGAATTATTTACCACCTCACAGTCTTCTAAATGAACAGTCACCTGCCACAAAAGTGACAGACCCAAATTGATTTTTCCCCCTGATTATACTGTTTCACCATTGTACAAAGCTTTGTCAAAGCATTTGCACTCTTATGCAGGAAACCACAGCCAAGAGCAAACTGTGTTCTGTCTTCCACATAAGTCCTCCTCTACTGGAATTGCTCATTTATAGTATCTTTTCTGTAGAAACAGCTGGATGTGTTCTGGCTTGTGAGGCTTGCTAGTAAAACTGATCAACTGTTATGCTGTCAGGAAGTACGTGCTTCTGTCTGAAGAGTGATGATCTTAATCTAAGTATTCATTCGCTCCCTCCAAAAGCTGGAAGCTAGGAGGGAAAATGTAGCATATGCTTGGCCTAGAGTTACTGCTTGGTGAAGACATGGAAAAAGTTAACTGAGATAACAGAAGATGGAAATCCCAAAAGCAAGCACCCATATGAGGTTAATTAACCCACATAGATTCTTCCAGATGCAAACCTTCACAAGCCTATGGCTAGTTCAAGCTTATCTCCTTTAAACCTGTATGAATAAACCCTATTCTTTCATCTCAAATCATAGTTGACATTAGACAGGGGGTAGATTTGGTTTACACCCCTACTCTCACAGCTACCCTTTCACTAAAATCTTCACAGATAACCCAAAAAGCACTCCTAGAGCATGCTACTTCATTTATCACATTCCAAAATTTTTACTTTTTTAAGCTTAATTAGAACTTCTCAAGATTAATGACTGCAGGTGCTAATTACAACAAGGGAGGGGTTTTGCAGCTGCACAATCAGGCAGCAAACACAGGGCAGCTCCCTCCCCTGTGTATATAAGGTGGACAAACCCAGGTGTTGAGTGCTCTGATCTGGACAGAAGTCAACAGCTTGTTGCATCAGAGATAAGAAAAGAAGCTGACGGTGCAAAGTGCAGCAGAACTCAAGTCAGGGAAAGAAAGCACAGTGGTGCAACTCTTAAAAGGAAGCAGACAAAAGGTGTGGCTCACCGCAGCGATCTCTGATAACCAGGTTTCGGCCTTCTTTCAGGTGGATGGTCAGCAGGTAAGCAAAGGGGCTGGGCAGGTGGCTCAAACCATCACTTCCTTCCTCTGCACCCTAAAATGAACAGAGAAATCAATCTCTGCTGCACGCCTCACCAGGCAGACACATAAACAGAGCAGGTGTTCTCACAGACCTTCTTTCAATGGGGAAACCTTTACAGTGCACTTGTCAGAAGAAGAAATAAAGATGTTTTTCTGAGACTTTGCTTCATTATGTAAATAACTAAGTATCGCTGTCAGGTAAACTCACAAAGCCAATGAGGATTACACCAGAAAATGGGTTGTGACAGTGAACATCATAAATGCATGAACAGGATTTCCAAATCCTAGAAACTTCGTGCATTTTATTTTTCTAGCTGCCTCTTCCTTGCACATTCACAATCAGGTAATGAACTCATGAGGATGTACACACTTCATAAAGCTACTGAGCAGACTGTTTTTATACAGCTCTAGAAGATACAGAAGCAGCAGTGAGCAATGCTACTTATGAAGTTTTGTCATAGCAAACTCAGTAATTCTTGTTCAGAGTTGCTGCCAGTGTTATATCCCACATCCCACCACCATCCAACTGGCATGTTTGGTGAAAGCAGCCACTGGATAGCCCTGAGGAGGTTAACAGAGAACAAAAGCAAAGAAATTCTTTCAGAAACAGCAAACACATTTCACATCATGATGCACGTGTCACAGCTGTCAATGCCTCTTCACACTATCATAAAACTGTCATCTATTTCTTAAACCCTTTATCCACGTTAAGGCATTTGAAGTCTTTACTGTGATGCAGTTTATTACTGGGACACTGGTTGAGTATTTAAGCCGACACTTTCATCAGTTATTCACCACAGAACACTTCACAAAATTACAGAACACTCTATTTAAAATATTTGTGTCTTGCACTGCCACTTCCATCTTGCCTGTTTTGTTGGATTTTTTTTTGGTGGTTTACTGTTTATTTTTCATCTGTAAGAAGCAAAGCAGCAAAGGACCTGAAGCTAAAAATATTTGTTTCCATTAAACAGTCTGATCAGGTTAAAGAACTTACCATCTGGTCATCAAACATTTGAGAAGATACTGACGACTCTAAATCCATTCCTCCACATTCCTATAAAAAACCAAAAGTACAAAGAATTAGACAACAGTAACATAAGGATCAAGAAAATTCTCCTAATATCCCTAAAGTCTTAATATTAGTGAAGAAAACCCTCGCAACCATTTAAATTATTTGTTAAAACATATTTATACTTCTGCACACAGACTACCAAATAATTTGGATGGGAAATTTTTTTTCCTTGTTTTACAGTGATTGCACACTTAATGTGATCTTCAGTGTGATCTAAAAATTAAGTGCTTGCTTCTAGTGATTGGAAGAAATTCTCCATGGTAGAAGACTGTGCTTCCAGTGCTGAAAGTCCTTAACAGAAACTCCTGATGCCTGAAGGTTACTGCATCTGGTGACTCACCAGTTGAAGTTGCAATGCTGACCCATATTCCTGGACAGAATTTAATTTCTTGAATCTTCAAGTTTCCTCTGTAAGATGAAATAGGAAAAATTCCAGAAGCCATGGCAGCACCAAAGATACCCTGGGGCTGGACAGTGGGTGGTACTCTCACATCACTCCCATTTCTCTTTAATTGCCAGTAAGTTATGGTCTAAGACATGTTTTCTGCAAAATCCCCTTTGTGTGTTTTGATTTAGAACCTTCTAAACATTTGGCTTATACTCAGTAACTCAGCTATACATGTATACAACATGTGTAACTCCAAGGGATGGAAAGACCATAAAAATACTAATAGTAATAACAATAAATAGTCAAAGGGAAAGGAGGAAAAAAGATGCTGGATGTGTACTTCCCCACATTCTGTAGTAACTGGAAGGCTCAAACGATTGTTATTAGAGCACCGTTAGAGGAAGTCAAACATTTCCACCTAAAACTGACTCACACAAAAACTTGAAGCTATGGTGGGACGGTGTCTAGACTGCTCGGACACACAAAGGTGTTCACTCCATAGTAAGGACACCACTGATGCTATTTTGACTTCCAGGATAGTCTACCATCGTCACTTACACTGAAGAGGATCTACACGCAAAGAGGATCTACATGCAGGGGCAACTCTTTGGTTTAATACAGGGCAGTCACATTCAAATTCAAATGGCAGGCCATTCAAATGCAGGAATTTACTGTAAGAACAACCACTTCACTCTACAGAAACGCACACAAAGTGGAATTTGATCCCCATGTGAAAATGCTATTGCGTGCAGTGTGGTAGCATCCACGCCTCTCTGATGAGAGCTGCATTGAGTTGAGCAGCATACAAAGAAAAACAGAAGCAGCTTCTGGATCACACATAAAACCGAGATATATTGACATGCTAAAATAAATACAAGCTTCTATGTAATTATTCTTTCCCTGTCCCCGAATACATACATTACATATCAGGAAGCACAATACTTCTGTACTGCAAGTAAAATTTTACTCGCATGACGGACGAAATTTAACATTATGGTTCCCATAGCAATCATAACTTGGCCACCTTGCAAAAACACATTAGAAGTAGAAAAATTATTATCATAAAGAGCAGCAGCAGAGTTTCCTTGCACAACAGAGCTGAGTTACAGCTGCTAGGGGAACCCTAACTTGGAATATCCTGACTAGTATGCATAAAATCTCACTTGTGTGCATTAAACCAAGTACTTCTATAGTAATCTTTGGCTTCACAGGAATCCCCTACAGGCACCATCATTGCTACTGATAATACTTTCGCTTCACAGCTTGTTTTGCATTGCATAAACACAGAATCAAAACTACATTTTTTTTTTCATTTTATCTTCATATAGTGTAAAGTGCTATTATTCTAGGTAGCTGACTGCAACAACATCACCAAATAGAGATGAAAGTTCAGCTGAAAATATATGCCTGAAATCTTGATTTTAATTAACCACAGAGACAATTCTGAACTTAAATATGAGCAAATGAGGCCACATCCACCAAGTGGGTCATAGTCCCAAATGTGTCTGTGTACAAAAGTAAAACAACAGCACACACAAGAATACATACAAAGCAACCAAACTTTTCTCCTGACTGGGCTACAATCTTTACCATCTCCTGTTTGGTGTGGAAGAATGATTCAAAGCACAAGTTCATCAAGTGCATCAGTGGGCGGACAGGGCTTTGGGTTGCTAATGACACACAGCAAGTGTTAGAAGATGAAGAAATGGTGTTAGTGCACTGCAGCAGTGATGCACGACCATAGGCAGAAAGCGTCCATAGAAACGCCATTATCTCATCTGCAACCTGAGCAAATGAGGCAGGGGTTAAAGGCTATGTCAGTAACTCCTTCACCCTTCCGATTTGTTTAACTTGCTGCAACAGAGGATAAAGTAAGTAAATCTCTTAGCAAATTCATATGTGGTGCGTGTAGGAGAACCTTTGCTGACGATGGAATACCCCATGCACTGTCAGCTCCGTGCTGAGCATTTAGAAGACTGAAAACCACAACTCCACACTGAGCTCGTGTGTGAAGCTCAGGAAGTATCTCATGCTACTGGGTGACCAAAGGAAACCAGGAAATGAGTGGGTGGCATGTGACAAGCAATTCAGGGGGAAAAAAGCTCAACCTACATCTTTGCTTTTTTTAGTTTGTTTTGTTCCAGGGATCTGCCTTCCTTTTGATTTACACCTCGCTGCTCAGTAAAGGCTGCTCACAAAAGAATGAGTTGATTGTTGTGCTCTCTACAGCAACCTCAACTAGTAGGTATGCAACATGCTGTTTCAACCTGAGGCACACTGAGCACAGATTTTGTGCCTGTTCAGTCACGTAGAAGAGCTAAACATGAAAAGATTGACTTTAGTATTCCTTATCTGTTTCTACATTCACTTGCTTCATCTTCTTCTGCATTTAAAAGTTGCTACTGGAGGCAGATAACAGATAGAAAGGCAGCGTATTCACACAGAGCAATGGTTTGGTATGAAACTAAATATTAAAATGTTTATATGCATAAACACACACACGTACACTGGGATTGATTTTAATGCTACAGAGAATAAGACAGATTGCTCTGCGTCTGGAGGAAACTCATCCCGAAGTTAATCTATCCCATCACTACACAATTGCCACCTTCTGCTAAAGCACTTAGCTCACCCAAAGTCAAGCAGGTTTTGGGATTACTTTTGGCTCTGCTGCAGATACACTCAATGAATATTAGCTCAGAATCTGTTGGCCTTTAACAGCAGGAAAGGATTGCTGATACTGCTACAACAGCGTGGAAACAAACTCCTAAAATGACACCATGGTCATAATCTCCAGACAGCTGTATATGCTGATTAACCTGAGATGCCACTATATGAGGTACTGCAAAGAAATGTAGAATATCCTGAGTTAGAAAGGACCCACAGGGGTCTCCGAGTCCAACTCCTAGAAATAAAGTTATATACTATTTTAGCTAGTTTTAATGCAGACAACAGAAAGCCAGCAAGCCAACAAGTTTAAAATCTAGTAACTAGAAGCCACAGTTGCTGGCTACTTATGGGATATGTTGCATCACAGCAGGCTGGTGCTAGCTCTGCTTCAACAGGAATGCACAGACCTTTGAGATGCAGAACAAGTGGTTTTCTACCAGCAAAGATCACTTTCCCTTGATTTTGAATGCAGAGCTCGAAAGATAAATTTGCCTGTGAAATCACCAATCTCAAAGGAGAGCTTTACAACAAAATATGTCTTTCATTTTTGCATCTCAGATGACAAAATCTGCCATCCCAGTGACAGTCCAACTATGGGAAAATGGCCTAGAAACATAGCTCAAAATCTAACCTTTCTAATGGTAACTCCATTGGAAGAGATACATTTCCACAACACAACCAAAACAAATTCTGGCTAAAATGTTTCAGACAACCATCATGCACCTGCAGATTCCCCACTTCAGGTCAGGCAGGATTTACTGTTTCAGGACAACTTAGATGAGGATCCTCCAGTTCCAGAGGCTCTGTCACAGAAGCACTGACCACAAGGGTGGTGAGAAAAAGATGTTATTTTTTCTGCTGCTCCAGACTGACAGAATAGATAGCTGAATATCATAATATCATGGTTGCTTTATGTTTTTTTTTTGTTTTTTTTTTTTTCCCCCTTACTCATTCCTGGCACAGGGTGCCCTTCTCCATCCCTTTATAATCCACTCAATAAGCCCCACGATGGCAGCTCAGTGTGGCTAATTCCAAGCCCCTTACCTCCATCATCTCGTTTGCCAGCTCAGTGCTCAGGTGGGCTCTCTGCAGCAGCTCCAAGAAGTCATCACTGGACGGTCGCTTCCCCTCGGACACAGGGCTCCCTGCCATAGGCACATCCAAGTGGGCCACAGCTGGCTCCATGCACGCAGCTGAAGCCTGCAGCCACGGCCAGTCCTCTCCCTCTGGCCTCATCGATGAGTTCCTTCTTTTCAGAGACACCATAGGCCTGGGGGCACCACGGGGGTAGCCACTGGACAGCATCTGAGTGCTTGAACAGGTTGTTTCTTCTTCTGTGAGAGTCTCCACCTCCAGCATGTCAGGCACCGACACGCTGAGCCGTCGGTCCAGGGAGCGGATTTTGCTCACCACCATCTTGCTCGACCTCTTCTTCGTCTTCCTCACGCTTAAGTTTTGCAGGAACGGCCTCGTCCTCTGCTTCAGGGACCCCCAGACAGATGGTTTCTCCAAGTCCATGGCTGCACATGGAACTTCAGCAATGCCTCTGGTACAAAGCAGCATCAGTGATTCCTGGGGGTGATTAAAAAGAATGTAGGAAGAAGGCAAGTCAATCACGAGAACAAACAGCAGTTGAAGATTATGATTCATGTTGCATCATCTTAAAACTTTCAGTCATTTTTCTAAGGGGTAAAAAGAAAGCATGCCACAAAGTATTAGTAAGTGCTTCCCAGTGAAATCTGGTAGGTAGGTTTAATTGTTGAGGGGGAAAACAGAACAAGTAATTAATCCTACACTAAAATGCAACGTCTGTCCTCTGTTTTATGACTGCTACGAGGAGATACTGTTTCAATTATTCTGCCAAGTGCCAACTGGCAAAAAAATTGGTGATTAATCCCATTTCAAATTGTTTCTGTACAAAACTTACTGATGGGAGTTGAATCAAAATAACGCTAGCACACAAAAAAAGGTGGCAAAGCTGACATTGCAGTTTCTGATGATGATTTTCCAGGTTATGCACATCTTCTTTGCTACTTCATAAGCTATGAGAGTTCTTACATGACTTACAGGTGGATAAGAGCAACACAAAAATCAGCTCCACAAAAAAAGGGACTGAGGCAGAAGAGACTCCTGATATAACATCAGAAAGTCCACGTAAGACCTCAAAATATTCTCTTTTGTTAAAGCGTTCTCAATGGAAGTCGCCTCTGCAGAAGTAATATTCCTCATAAAGAAGGAGGTTGAGAGAAAACGAGGACAGAAACAAACAGAAGGAATTAAAGATTCTGAAAAACTGCTGGTGGACTCATCTCTTATCTATACCTGCAACACTGATGGGTGACGAGAAAAAGATTCAAACCAAAAATCACTCACTGAATCTGCATTGTAATGCAAAGGTCAAACGGATGCCTCTGTGCACAGGAATATCCTCACGGACAGGGTCTTCCGTGGCTGATAGATGAACAACCATCCTTACTCTGAAAAGCAGAAAGTCGAATCATCATCCAAACTCATTAAGAAAAATGCTAATGAAACCTTCAAGATCTGCTCTTTTACAGTCTCTGATGACACATGTAACACAGCTTACTTCACATACCTGCATCAATAGCAATGTATACTCATTAACTTCATGATTGCTGCTTACAAAGCCCACAGCATATTTAAATACACACAGTTGAAAAACTGCACAGTTTACCAAAATTAACTTAATCCACTATTATCCTGATTGCTAAGGAAAACATCAGAATGATCAGAAAGCAGAAATACAACTGTGCATAAATTTAGATAGAGAAACCACTGTCTGCTCTCTAAGACATCTACTCTTACATTTCATTAATTTGAAGGTTGCATTATTAACTAGTTTAAATTATGTTATGACTATCCTCACCATACTTGCAATGTTTGGGCATCTGCAAAAAATTCTTCTCCTGCATTGTTATGCAACCAAAACTATACAATCATCATAGAATTATACAATCCCTCCTGCCTCCATCTGTGTTGCTATACTGATGCTCTCATCCATACTGCTTGCTACAGAATAGTTATATTCAATACAAAAAATAATAAGCTACTACAGCACTGCATGCATGCAACTCATCAGTCTCAGAGTTTGTCCATACAGGAGTGTGTGCTGGTATACATACATTGGCTAAACACAGTAGTTTCATCTCTAGCTCCTGCAGTCAGGTCCAGCATCAAAGCACACATGGACAAACCGGAATTATTTTTTCCTCACAGCATCTCTGAGAAGCAAAACCAATGCTGAAGCACCCAGATCCCCATGCAAGTTCACTGGAGACACAGCTCAATTTGCTCACCTTGGCTGACAGCTTCCTCTTTCTTCCCTCTTTAGATAAAAAATTCATAAAGCAGTTACAGGCCTCCCTGGTAGCATTTTATCACATAAGAGGAATCATTAGGCCAAACATTTGCACAAAACATTATGAAACACTGCTGCTGGGACTCATTTAAACAACTCCATTAATGCCAGCACTCCCTATGTTGTTTATCTACATGCACAAAACCTGCCAAAGTGAATTCAGCGTAAATAAAGGCAGGGCCCAGCTCACAACACTCACCTCCCAAGGCTCTTGCTGCTTCCCATTCCCTTCCTGTTATTCTCCACCCTCCTCAATTTGACAACCCACTGCTATGGTTTTTACTCTGTTTGCTTAGAGATTTTGTTTCCTAGCAGCACTCCAGTTCCTGTAAGTTTTACGCAGTTCCATTCTTCTAGGTTTTTTTCATGCTACACAAGTCCACTCAGCAAGGATTGCACGCATGGACCACACAGTATGAGTCCCACTTGCATTCAACCCACCATGAGCAAATTATTCCCCAGGGCAGAAAAACCATGGTGGAGGGAAAAAGAAAAAGAAAAAAAAAAGGAGAAAAAAAAAAACATAAAAAGTTTTTTTGTTTTTTTTTTTTCCAGGACAGCAGCAAAGATGCTCCAGCATCTGCCACCAAGCAGTGCTGGCAGTACTTGCTGTGTAAGGAAAGCAGAGGGATGCCTGAAGTGAGGCCAGAGAAGCTGTTTAGCCAAACCCTGCACTGCCAAGAAGTTTGGCCATATTCCACCCCTGAATCCACACACCCACACTCCTGCTGTAACTGGCACTTTCATTTTATAAACGCTGTCATGACGAGCAAATTAATCCAAATGACTGTTGTAAAGCACAAATGAAAAAATTATTTTGCAACAGCAAGTGTCCTGGTTTTAGAGAAAACCAGCACAAATACAGTCTGAAGTGCAAATTCAGTCTGACATCTGCCAGATGCAGACTGGCACTTTTTTCACTTCCCCACTTCATGCAGGAAAAAAACAAACAAACAAACAAACAACAACAAACAAAATCACCCCCAAGAGCAGAAACTCATTCCCCAGAGAGAACAGGGCAAAGTGAGGGATGGGGACCACCACACAACCCAACCTGGTACTGGATCCAGAGGTACCCCATGCCCAAAAAGCACACGCTGACTTGCACAACTGTTGCTTCTATTGAACATGGTATTGCGTTGCTAATAAATCCAGTCCATTCTCTCTTCCTCCATCAGTCTTCCTCTATTTTTCTTTCCCACACTGAACAGCATCAATAAACAAATTTTGTAGAGAAAAATTGCCCATTTCTTGTAAAAGCACACTCTCCATGTCAACGCATTGCTCACTCACATACTCCTCATCTGCCATAGGCCAGAAGCTTTTCCTTTTCCTTCCACCCTCTCAGAAGTTCAGTGCCAAGCTTATCTCCAAAATAGCCCCTAAGCACCCATGGGGAGGCTCTAAGTACAGCCTCTATTCCTTCCTTGTATCAACGGCACATTGTACCAAAAAGCTGCAAACAATGATCATTCAGGGAGAAACATTTCCTGTTATCAATGTTAACTTGGTTGTTTTTAATTGAATGGCTCCTTGCCCTTACGCAAGAAAAAAAAATTAAAAAAAAAAAATCTTTTTAGCCTATCTTCTTCAGTGTATTCTGTAATATGCTGCTAAATCTCAGAGGCTCAGAGTATTTTAATCCCTTCCTTCATAGAGACCACTCCAGACTGCACCTGTCATTTTTATTACATCTTGTTCTTTTGCTTCCTCATCTCCTCTTTTGAGGCCAATGGGGACTAGGAAAAAAAAAAGAAGATTAATGACATAACAACTGGTAATGGCACATCGCCTGACTGATATAATGAGTATTTCTAGCTGTTCATCTTCCCTTAAGTACCATCTGATCACAGTCCTCTGGTTTACTTTTTCCTTTTTTTAAAATAATGCGTTTTGCTCCCTCTCCCAGTAGCACACACTACTTACTCCCTTAAGTAGTTACCATATTCAGAGAGAAAGCATTCTTCAGACGTTCTAACAGGAGGCTCCAAGAGAGATTTCAAAAGTTATTGCAAATATAGAGAAATCATCCTGTATTTCAGCTTCACTTATAGTCCTGTCGGGAAGCCAGAACTGGGACACAAAACCAAACTGATTTACATACTGGAAATCACAACACATTCCTGCTCTTCTCCTTAAGTAACCACACTCTGCACGTCAAAAGTACACAGCGCTCATTGAAACACCCCTGAAACACTCCCTGCCAGAGTGATGCACTCTCAAAGCCAGCAGATAGATCTGAGTGCAGCCAAGCATGCCACCACCACAACCTCCACAGATCTGGGAGTCATTGTGCACAGCTGACTTCCCTGGTTGAAGTCAAGAAGTTGGGTCAGTCTGCATGCCGTTAATCATCACAACGCATGGGTCAATCAGTGTGTTTTCAGCTGCAACTAAATGCTAGCCAACATTTAGACCCTCAATAGCTGAAACCAGCAAGACGTGCTAGAAGCTGTTAGGAAGATGTTCTTCAGTTGCCTACATCTTACCATACGTTCACACTGCATGATAATAATGGAACTCCCTTGCTATATAATCTTTGTTGATTCTGCCATAGGGTGCTCACCCCAATCTCTGCCTGCCTGGCAGGCACTGCCATGAAATGTAACATCACATGATTTACAAAGCTAATCACAGTTTTCCTACAAATACCGGTAACCAGAAATTAAACTATTTCTCCCTGAGGAAAAAGAAAAAAAAAAAGAAAAAAAAAAAAAGAAAAGAAAAGAAAAGAAAAGAAAAGATGAGGAACCAGCTCTCTGCTAGCTAAACAACAACTGAACGCTCTGGGTTGTTATTCCAGCAAAGTACCTGAGTCCTGTATGAACCACTACAACCAAGAGCAGAATGACTTCAGAAAAAGAAACCTATGCTTTCTTCTTTGCAGTGGCTCCTTTTGGTTGCTTCTTTGGAAATGCAGTACTTAACCATAAGCATCGACTGCCACAGAGATAAGAAAATATTTATCTGTACATCTAAACAAAGCCACAAAACATCTGCACATCTCTTGGGTTATCAAGAACTTCAAGCACTGGGGCTTCTTTTGCAGAGAAAAACAAGTCCAAAACAGAAATCTGATTGAGGTGGGCTTAAAGCCTTTCACCTGAGATGACCACACAAGCTAGAGAGGGCCACTGTATTGGATACGTACATGACAATATACAACAAGTGAGACACATCTATCTTCCTGCATCCATGCCCGGCAGTGCAGGGTAAATACCTGATCTTAAATTTGCGACAGCACCAGAAGTCTAATCTCAGCCTGATTCTGCACAGGCTAATTACCCTGGGGAAATCAGTATCAGAATTATTTTTAGTACTAACAAGCATCAAAGGGAGCACACTGCTAAAGTGTAGCTAACAATCTCCACTGCACACGCAGCTGCAAAAGCAGGGTCAGGTCTTGGCCAGCTCCCAAATCTTGCCACTGCGTTTGGATTCAGGTTTCCCTTTCAGGGCTTCAGATAACGCAAGTCCATCCACGTCAATCTGTGCTACTGTTACAGATTCATTGGCAAAGCACACCAGGATGCAGAATTTTTAAAAATATGACCTGATGATGCCAAACTCATGCTCACAGAAGACAATTTTGTTAACTGAATGCTTGAATGGAAATAAGATAACCAAAGGAAACTTACTCTCTTGATACAAGGAAGAATCCTACGGTTTTTGCTGCAGAAGGACACAGAACTAAAGCAAAACACAAAGCTTAAGAAGAATGTTTGTTCTGTGCAATCAAGGCATCTTGAATAAAACTCTCCTTAATTATGGTTGTTGGCTTTCATGTCGTACCTCGATCCTCCTCAGATCCCACACGGTTTTCAGGCTCTGGGTATCTGGATCCCATGCCTGGCTTTTCATTTCTCAATTTGCTCAAACACGACGAGCTCCATTTTAACAAAACCACAAAACGAGCACATATCTTCCTCCATTTTTGATATGAAATGAACAAGGATGTTCCAACTCCTTTGCACAATCTGCAGAGCTTTCATCTGACCATTTACGAGCAGACAGCAAGTAGAAGTAACAGACCCACCAGCTGCTTCAAGCACCTTAAGATAGTACCTGATAGTGAAAGCTGCTGAAGAAAAAAAAAGC